GGGTGCTGAGTGGCCTCGGCGCTGCCGGCTGTTTCCTCAAGGCTCTGGGCACAGGCCGAGAAAAAGGTGTGGGGCAGGAAGGGGGTTCTCTTGAACCTGCGTGCCAGCCTAGCATCAGGGCCCGTGCAGGATGCATGCTGCAGGCGCCTCTCCTGCACATCCAGGAGCTGGGCACTGTAGTTATAGAGCTGGCATGGCAGCAAACGAGGTACAACGGGAACCTCCCCCCAATGGGACCAGGGACACAGAGGTGAGACGGCTTTGCATCTTGCCCTCAGGAAAGAGGCCTTGTGTTCTGCTAGAAAGCACAGCTTCCCCATCGGAAAGCTTCCTGGAAACKCACCTTGCGGGTGTAGCCCTCAACGCGCGGCTGAGTCGCAGCTTGCAGAATCTGCCCTCCTGCACGTCCCTGTGGAGATAAGCACCCATCACCAGCCAAGCGCTTCCCCCGTGACATTCCCGACGCGAAATGATCTGGGCACAGTGAGCCCCGAGCAGAGCAAGGAAACGCGCTGCCCAAGCGGGCTTCACATCAAAGCAGCAACGAACAGGAACAGAGGCTTTTCAAGTCTAAGCCAGAGCTTGTAAACTGCTGCTATGCACAAACCAAATAGCGCATCCTTTCAAACAGAGATTAACTCGTGTTAGATAAGATTGAGTACAGGGTCTATAACGTGTGCATGACTCAAAAGCAGCCGCTTGCCCCTCCTTTCTTCTTTCTGCAAAGCAAACACCTTGGACCACAACCAGAACTCCCTGGTTCAAACCCTGGCCCTTTCATAACTGCAAAGGGTAAGTCCTTATCTTCAGTCCTAATCTTGCTGCTCTCTGGCYGTAAGATGGGACTGAAAACAGACTGTGCGCAGAGACGCTGCCGTTTCTACCCAGCATGGGGGGAAGAGCCTCGGAAGGGAGGCAGCCGCCCCGATCCGCGGCGCYGGCTTCGCCCGCTCCAGCCACCAGGAAAATCAGGGAAATCAGATTCYGTGACCTTTCAGAAACTCCCAGCTCTGCTGCACAGGCGGGTGACTTGGTAAAGCAGAGGCAAACGTGCAGGCGCCGCTGCACGAGTCCCACGCGGCACCGTGTGAAGCCAGCTCAGGGCAGCCTGCCCAGTGCCCTGRCCAGAGCCTCCCACGCAGGCTCCCCTTCCACTGCTTGGCCTCAGCTCCCAGCACCCGTCCTGGGAGCGGGGTGAATCCCTGGGCATCCTCCACATCATTACRATGATGCCAAAGACGTGTATTCATATTACTAGCAAAATAAAGCTTGCAGCAAACACAAGATGAAAGCAGTCCATAAATCATCAGGAATAATTACAAGAACACACTGAATATTTCTTTGATTTACCCTTAACTCTAGCAATGAGTTTAAAAGTTCTAAAATTCACGCTTAAGCCACTATCTTAGGAATAGTTTCAGATCTGCAGGGAAACAACCCTTTCTGCTAGATGCAAAAGTAGAGGAAAGGTTGGTTTTGTGACAAGTTGCAAATATCAGGCACCCACAAAAACATTGGTCTTTAAGCAGCAAAATAATAGTTGTGGGAATTACTGCTGTGGAACAAACTCCTGCCATCCCAGGCTACTCCCAAACCTTTCCAGGAGGGAGCAGCACCTGCAGACAGGCCCTGCCTCTATGCTACGGTGCTCCTGATGCAGCTGCAGGCAGAAGCAAGGGGAGGGAAGGGTAGCGCTACCTGTTCTTGGAGAGCTGGGACAGGAAAGCATCTGCAAGGAGCTTTGAGACCTGTTGTTTCGTACAGCTGCTTCACCCAGCCTGGTGACCTGGGCAGGGCCGACGTATCCCAGAGCTGCAAAATGCTTCCCATTCTGGAAAATGAGGTCCAGTGGTTAAGGGGAGCAATGGAACTGATGCCTTGTGCCGGCTGAGGTAAGGCTCAGCACAGGCTCGGGCACCGATGCTCTAGGGCCACACAGAGAAAGGCCCCAGCAAGCAGCACCCTCCAGGGCAGCAGCAGCGGGCAGGGAACGCGCTCCGCATCCCGAGAAGCCTCTTCCCGTGGCGGGGAGCCGTGGATCCCCCCGTCTTCAGCGCGGCCGGGGGAACCGCAGGGAGCGCCTGCTGGCAAGCCCAGCTGCTGCTTGCTCTCGCCTTTGCCTCCCACATATGGTAAATAGATTTTCCACTCGAATATTCGTTCAGAGCAAGCCCCGAGCTCATTTGCAATGCACAGTGACTATAAATCCCTGCTAGGAGCTGTATTTAAAGTCTCTGTGTTGTAACAGCAAGGCAAACCCCTCTTCCACACTCTTTGGAGCCAAAGGGAGGCGCCACTGCCCAGGATCTGGCAGGAAGATGGGGAAGGGTTGGGAAGGGTCCCCTGGAAGCAACCACGGTCCCGGTCTCGTTGTGGGTGCAGTGACAGCTCCATACAGGGCGCTGCCACCGCCCTGCGTGCTCAGACTGACATAATTTGGCAGTTCTGCTAAGGAGGAGTCACCAGCCGCTCCGCAGCGCCCACCCTTTCTCAGGCTGCCCCAGCCCAGCTGCGGTTCCCACCACGCAGATGCTCCCAGCACATGGAGCTGCAGCACGCGCTGGTGCTCCCGGCCGCAGCACAGCCCTGCGTCCCAAAGGAGTCCGAGCGAGGAGCTGCAYGGAGGAGGAGGAAGAGAGGAGAGAAGCGGGAGGATCAATACGACTCTGCCTCCAGCCAAGGGCTGCAGGGTGKCTGCTAGGGCAGCGAGGCCCTGCAGGAACCCTTGAAATACAAACACCCCACATGGTGCTGCAGGGGAAGCTGCTGCTGCTGCTGCGTTCACGTACAGCCGAGAAACCYCCTTGGAACAGCAGGATCCTCCATCAAAATTCAGTATTGCCAAACACAAAGACCCCTTAACTATGCTGTGATTTTATTTTTATGCTGATGCTTAGTTATCCCCTACGTTTTACAAACCTCTCCCCATCGCTTCAGTCTGCAGCCACACAGTAGCTATGAAGCAAGCAGCGAATTAGATTGGGATTGCTGGCACTGAAGCTTTCTAATATTTCCCTATTCCAGCAGTATTAATGGAATCCGGGCAGGCTCTGCCTGTGCACAGCTGCAAACATGAGGCTGAACTGGCAACAAGTTCCCCACTCTCCACACCAGCACGGCTGCTAAGGATGCATGACACAGCTACACCCAATTTACATGGATTTTAACCAAAAATGCATGCCTGTATATTAGAACATAGGCCCTGGACACCTTGTGCCCCCCCGTGGCTTGATGACAGTTTCTCTGCTAAGAGGAGATACCCAAATATGTCAACTCACTTGTGCTGGGAGAAGGGCAGGACAGAGCTGCAGGACACTGAGCCCCTGGGCTTTGCTCCAGCTCATGCGTTTTGTTAGGTAGGATCCAAGGTAAATATTTTTGACCAACCTGCTTGGTCTTACAGCTCTACAGAGCCACACGCCTAGTGAAAAAAAAATATATTTTTGTTTTAGACATTAAAGAATATTAACACTTTAAGGATTCAAAGATTTTTTCCATCTATTGTACACAGAGGAAAGAAAAAATACAGAATGAAMTAAGACTAAGGCTCACTAGCTCATTACAGAATGAACTTGATAACTAAGAACAAATCGCAGCCTGCCTTAATTACGAGCAATTCACACTTTTACTACAGACTTCTGTCTTACTGGTAGGCATAGCAAGTTTTACTGATAAGAAACTTTGTTTCACATATGGTGCATCTAAAATTAATTGTCTGGGATTGAAGCTTTCTAATTGATGGAAGGAAAATGTTTTAAGGCTAAGGTTTTAAGGAGTTAAAGAAATTTGGATGTGCATTTCCTGTACGGTTGCCCTTTGGAAGCTGAAATCTAAACAATCCTCAACTGGATTCTCAAAATAATTGAGCTTTTCATTCAAAGCTTAAACTCACATGCAGATAGAGCTCACACATGGCACTTCATTAAAAACTTGCTAGAGACATAATCATCCCCAAGGGAGAATCACAGCATCTCAAGTGTGTTATGTTTGCTGATAACTATCTAACAGGAGCTAGGAACTTACCTGCTAGAGAAGACAACCCTTGAGTCCAAATCAGAGGGACAATTTCACAACGGCAGCTGCAAGACAGTCAYGTTTGGCTTTTGCCTTTCATCTAAGACGCACCACTTACTCCTCATTACTTTAATCTYCTGAAACACAGATTTAAAAACAACGTGGGCTCCGGAGATAAGAGGAACCTCAGTCTGAAGATGAGCTTGTGCGGAGCAACCTTGACAGTTACGATCCAAAACACAGTTGCACACAGAGGAAAACAGTGACGTTTGTCAGACAGAGCAGGCGCTTCCAGCGCTTGTGTTACCTGTAGCAGGCTCTAGCTGGACCACATTTGCCTCCAACTGGCAACTGCAAGACACTTGATAACACATCTGCTTCTCATGCTGATAGAAATCACAGTTGTGCCTCCAGCTCTGAAGTTCTAACTTACATTTATGGAATTCCCTCCAGCAAGTCTCCTTTCCCTCCATGGTAGATGGCTAGGCTCTGGGAATATTGTCCTAAATGTCTCAATACAGAGACTGAGTGACCCATTCACACAAGAGCTGGACAATTAAAMTGAGATTAGCAAGTATTTTACTTTCCAGTATTTATAAACATACTTTACATTACTAAGACAGCTCGCAGCCCCAAACAATTCACTGAAATATGCTTTGTTTTGTTTTTAAATCAGCTTTACGAAAACAGTTTCTTTTCTGCCCTGGAAATACAAAATTATTTATGAAGCTGAATTGCTTGGCAACAGAAAGTAGCAATATATTTTATTCATTAAAAAGCAATATAATATTTTCTATGCGGTCTCATTTTGCAGGCAGGGATTATTAGAATCAATTCTTTTAGGGCTTATTATAGGTCCCTGCTATACTAAATTGCATCTGTTTAGTATCCTCTCATAGGTTCCACRTACTCTTCAGAACTAAGGCTGACACAGTATTTGTTTAGACTTGTGGTTTTGAGGATTGGATTATACAAAAAAAAAATCAAGTATTGGCTTTTCAGGGAACTTTCAGATTATTTTTCTGGTTAGAACATGGAGACACTTTTGCATACAACAGTTTCAACAGGAAAGTTCTTTGTGCAGTTTCCAAACTCACTGTCACTCACTCAGGGGTGCAAGTTCCATCTTGATTCAAGTCTTGAGCCCCATATAAGTCTTGTAAATGACCGACTCCAAAATGTCCCCAAATATATACATGGGAACAAGGTGGGATGGCAAGTAAACAGCAACATGTCACTGAGGAGGCCCCATGYCAACTGTTCTAGTTAATCTCTGACTTCTTTGATGTGCATCAGGTGAGTTTAAGGATTATTTGAAATTGGAAATACTCTTAAGAAGAGTAAGCAATTCCATCTTTGTATAGTAATGCCACTTAAATAATTTTATTGTTTACAAAAATGTAGTTTTACTCCAAAACAAGAACATGAATCAAARAAACTCTACAAATGTTACTTTATCTGTAAAATCAGTATCAAAGTACGAGCAGTGATGAAAATTTCCAGACAACAGCAAAATGAACTGTAGATCACCCTTGAGACACAAGGTAAGCATCTAACTCCTGGCACTCATAGCAAGCAACGCTGTCTAATACCCACTCTCGAGTCACCACAGCAACGTTGTTCTTTTGCTGAATTGCTGCAAGACAAAAGACATACACAGTAAAACCGGTATTCCGTGAGCACGGCCATGTCTTCCAGATTAAACTATTTGCTTTAACTTTCACATTTTCAAAGCTTGATAAAAAGCAAGATTCTAAAAACCCTTTATTTCATAACAATGCAGGCAATACAGCTGCTCCACTGAAAACAGTTGTTTTGAGCAAGTAGTCAGGCAGGAAGGTTGAAGGCTGTAGCATAAGCTCTAAGAGCGCAAGCTTTGAAACATTTTAATTCAGGATCTTGGTGTCAGAGTCACAGTTTCTGCCTGCTCAGGCATACCAAATATATGACAAGAAATGAGTGTCACAGTGAGAAGCAACACAACCTCACAGAAGTCTTTCTGCCAGAAAATTTCCTGTTAAGCTGAGTACGTGCAGGACACCTGAACCAACATCATATGGACAACAGGATCACATTTATGTCTCCTCATAACAAGCTGTGATACTGCCTGACACCACCTTTCAGCACTCTTCACTGCCTCTTGAGATAAAAATAGTTTGTCTTCTCAGACTTTTCTTCCAAGACATTCCTCCACCCTCAGATGTGGTGGGATTTTATTCCAGTTCCCCTGCAGAATCTCTCTGACATTTAAGTACTAAGAACACAGAAGTGCTAAATCATTCAACACGTGTATCATAAACCAGCATAAGAGTATGTTGTTTTACCTTCGTAGTCTGTGTTTTCCACCCAAGCATCTGGTTGCACAACCACAACAGCGGTAGAATTCTAGAATTTTAAGAAAATAAAAAAATGCTACCGTTACTTGTTTCACATTAAATAACTCTCTACCTATCTGCAGAGTGGTAACTGGATTACTTTACTGTACTCTTCACTCTACTCCTTCGAAAAGGACTTTAATGGTCATAGGGGGAGAAGGACATCAGTATAAGAACACTTTTCTATGAAGATGGTCCAGGAATGCTGGGTTAAGGCACTAAAAGCTTCTTGCCCTGGAGACGGGAGCTCAGTGCCCATTTCAAATAAATGAGTTATGTGTCTACCCACAGAGTACTCTGATCAAAAGAGCAAGCCTGCCTCTTAATACAGAGTAGCCAGGGCCTAGAATGCAAGATTTGCTGCCAGGCAATCCAGCATCACTGCWGTGCAAACAGCTCTCACACGACACACCTGTATGCAGTGGTCTTTAGTAAGCCATGAAAGACATGGAATCTTCCAACATGTTGGGTATTAAGGACAGTGAATGGTTTGCAGTTAAGTGTAACGTTCACTAACACTTACTGTTTTGTGTGTGAACAGATGAAGTTCCTTCACCACGGAAGCACCACAGAGCTCCACCATCCATTCCAGATGTTCTAACAAATCAGGTAAACAGTTTGTTATTACAGCGATTTAGGTTATTTTCAAACTGATAATGTTCCCCTGAGCCCTAATCAACTGAAAGCATCAGCTGGCTTTAAAAAGAAAAGAAAAAAAAGCTCATCAGGCAAGGACATCCAAACATAAGAGAAGGCCATTGCTACTTAAGAGAGACAGAACTGGATACAGAGCAGTATCTCATGTATTTTGAAAACTTTGGTGTTAAAGAGATACATGAGTGTCCAAGAAAAGGTCAAATGCAAAGCTCTGGAGAAGGCACACAATTCCCTTCCAAACACTTGTCATGCTGAGTTCATTCAAATTCCTGCAAAAATTACACACCTGTAGTCATATCAGTGAAAGGTCCATAGCAGCAGATCTCAAAATCTTTAAAGATCTGAAAAATAAAGAGCATGCTAACAGAGTACGTATGTTCATTTCTAGGACAACATTTAACATGTTGACCCCCTCTGCTTCTAGGCCTAGTTATCAAGCTATCACTGTTGATTCACAAGGCATATCTGAAACTTTCTGTAACCTAAAAAACAGAAGACTCTTGCTGCCTGCTCCTCCCCCTGATGGTGTCCTATAAGGATGTTTTAAAAAAAAAAAAAGTATAAAAAGTATAATTCACTTTAACATAGGGAGTAACTTAAGTATTTTTATCCATGGAATATGGTCTCTGTATAGATGGTGCAACAGATGGATTGTTGGTTCCTGAAATTCAGCTACTATAGCCTCATATCTGACAGAGCTAGGGCAGAACAAGGCTTTTGTCCCCATTTCACTCCTACCTTTTCAGTCAGAGACTGCCTAGCCCTCCTTGGGCCTTGGTGGTTTCTCCCATTGATCACATCCCCTCTAACTTCAAAGTTACCCTGCAACAAAATAGAAACAAGCAATCAGAACTTAGAGATTGAGAAGACTGTCCTGATCAGCCCTGGAAGTTGCCAGCTTTCAGAACTGGAAACACAGCTTTTGGTCCTAACATTTGGTAAAACTGGGATCTCAGTTTTCAGAGGTTCATTTCTAACTAGCACAAACACCTCCCAGTTGCCAGGCTATTAAATGCTTAGACAATGTTTAAGATTACTAATAGGTCTATCACTGTAACAACACCTTTTAAACATTTGACAATTCACTGAAGTTAAAAGACTTACCTCATCAAGTATCCTTCCTTCTTTAAAAGACTGAATTACCCCTAAAAAGATCAGAACAGGACAAGTCATTTTATCCAGCAAAATTGTTCTTTGACTGCCAATAGTCTAGCTTCACTACCATATTAAATTCAAGGTATTTTGTATTAAATGAAACAYTTTATTTAACTGAATACTCTATGGTGCCTGTAAGCACCCTTTAAAAACATCTTTCATAAATAATACTAATTTTGCATTAACCAATGCCATGCAACTGAGAAGTCTGAATTAGGAGGATGAGAAGAACAACCAAATATAGTTATTTTAAAGCTGAAGTAGTATTCAGAGGAGAAATAAGCTTGTGTTGCTGTTAAAAATTTAAATGTTTAGATGAAAGTGCARAACATCAGATGCCAGCATATTCAAGACACGAAAAGATACTTAAGTTATACTTACATTGATAACTAACGACCCATTTTCTTCCTGCAATACCCAGAAAATACTTCAAGGTCCGTTCACACACCAGCTCCATATCTGCAGAGCAAACAAGTATATGGAGATCTCTYTGTTTTGCCATTATGAAAAACTGCAGATGGTTTCTACTGAAATGCAAAAGACTTGAAGTGCAGAAGCCAAATATCCCAGGTCATCGATGGAAAGGCTGAGAAATTCAAGGGCCCTCCCATTCCCCTCCTGAGTTTGCGAAACTGTATTTGTATGAAGAGCACAGTCCACTTCTCCAAAATATGATGCTTATGATAGGCTTCYTGAAGACAAAATTGAGTCCATCCATGTATTTGGAGCAAGAAAACTTCCTGGCTCCCTTCCTACTTTAGTTCCCAAAGCAAGCAAGGCTCGTGCAATAGATCATACCCAAACACACACCATCCACAGGTGCTTTTACGAGCAAGAAGTAAAGTTATACAGCACATCCACTCCCACACTTGCCTCTCTCTCTCTCAAAGCTTCTGTACAAAAGCTAATGATATAATCAATAATGAACTTAAATATAAGCTATCATTAGACATATCAACTCAGTAATTTAATGTTACTGAGAAATATTATGCTTTTTAAAAGCCTAGGCAGTATTAGAGTATCCATTTAGGAACACAATACATTTGTCAAATCCAGAACAGTGGTATCGTATTTTAGTTTGATAAAGTTTCTTCTTTTAATAATAGGATTCATAAGTCCTAAAAAGAACATAATTTAAGTATCTTAAGCATGCAAATAATTGTTACAGTGAAATTATAACGCTGCACTGTTTTTATGGAAGCAAGCCTTCCCTATCAGTTACCATGAGAAGTACACATATAATTAAGTACCATTTTTATCTTCTATTACAGACTATTGTTTCTTTTCAAAATTTAGAATAAAATAGGAAACTAAGGCACCATTCAAACCTGTTTTCATTATGACATGGGTTGTTCCTTCTGTCATGTGATTAGATAAAGTGCTCTGAGTTTTTCTGGCAAACTTCTGGACCACCAACTGAAAAATAGTTTAAAGAAAAAAAAACCCAAAACACACTCTTGTTTTATTCTTTCGTTGCTTTATGCAGAAGAACAAATGATTCAAGAAATAATAAGCTACAGCAACTAAAGACACTACCTCTTACCTGCATCATTAGCAATTTGGAAATGAATAGTTACTGAAGTCTTTACTACAGAGCAGAGTTTAGATAAAGCAGCAGCAGCCGAGATCAACCTAATGTAGGGTTCAGAGTTAATTATGTATTTGTTTATGTACATTTGTCAGCTGCTTTCATAATAAATTTAATGCATTTCAACACATTTTAAAACATAAAAAGGTTTTCAATGTTATTTCCTTCTTAGTTAAATCTGTTGTGCATACACTCAAGCACAGTTAAAGCTAAACATCTAACTTGAGTTGCGGTATTACTAATCTATAATTCCTGTAAGACTAGTTTCTCCTTAAATCTCTAAGCCGAACCTAAACCTTTCTTCAGGACTACAGTAGTCATCAAGGAATGACTAACAGGGGCTCTTGAAAAATTCTGAAATATACTCACATGTTCACTTTGATTCAGACCTGATGCCACAATTGACATTTCTCTCCGGTTGGTCCCAGCCGGACTTGTAGCACTTTCTTTCCCAGATGAATTGGGCAGAACAGAGGGAGGAAAACCTACCCCTCTATCCCGTTTACATCCTGGAGTGCGGCTTCTATTCGCACTCTGAGCTAGAGCAGAACTACTTGCTGCTTCTGGAGCTCGCGGGCGGAGAAGCCTTTTGGAGGAGGAAGAGCTGTTTGGACTTCGGCTCACACTTCCACAGGGATTTGATAAGACAGATGGGCTGTTTTGCTTGCTCCCAGATTTCCTGTCAGTTGCTTTTTCTAAAGGGAAAGAGAAGAACAACTCCTTGAATCATGTTCACATTACTTGCAGTCATTTTGGAAGGTGTTTGTTATTAAGTTTATAGGCTGCAGTCTTCTCCTCTGCTTATTTGTTTACAGCTTCACCTTTGCTTCTATCATTTCTTCTTTTCCTGAACTAGAGCTGAGGTAGTAGAATGCCATGAAATTGTTAGCAGCATAACCCACAAGAAGTACTAAATTATATGAGACAAAGAGTAACATCCAAGTACTATGAGACAAGGAGTAACTTACTGTGAAAATACTGTCTAGCCCCATCCTATTGGCAGCTGTATATTTAAACGGATAGACAATCAAACAAATAAAATTCACAAGAAAACAAACACAGCATGTGAAACATACTAGAAACGTGAGGAAAAAGGGGGAGAACGAGACAAACACACACACACACACCCCACAGCAAAATTTGTATTAAATTCCTTTTCAATGTTACCTGGTTCAGCCTGACGTGGATCACACTCTTTCACTGCTCCTGGCAGGGTTTTCTTCTCTTGAGAAGGAACGTTGTTCTGAACAACACTGTCACAGTGAAAGTCTCCCTCGAGATCCGGGCTCCTTAAAGAAGATTCAGGAGAAGGAAGCAATAGTTTTGGACACCTTGAGAGAGGGATTTTTTTTTTTTTTTTAAAAACTCTTCTAAGCATCAAAAGAATATTAACAGGCAAATTCATGCAGATTTTCAAAACCGGAGAGAATTTGTTTTCAAAGTTTTTCTAATACAAGACCATAAATAACAAATAAGAAAAAAGCATTTACCTTTCTTCTAGCTCTTTGGTTTTACTGTTGGAAGAATGACTTGACTTAACATGAAAATCAGTTGAAAATCCCTTTGAACTGCTGCATTTCTTATTTGCCAAATTTACTTCTGAAGTTGACTCTATTCCTTTAAAAAAGAAGACAAGTTCTTAAGCAAAATAAAAGCAATTGTTCTTATTTCTTCATTGTTTAAACAGGAAGAAAAAAAAAACCCCAAACAACATCTATAGATGGGGTTGACCTTATCTAACAGCACAAAACCATTAAGAACCAAGACACACAAATTCAGAAGTGAAGCTTTCTAAGCCTTGATGAAACTATATGGTAGAAGCAAACCAGGAATTAGCTGAAACTTTAAAGAAAAATCTTGTACTGACCAGGAATGGCATGCTGCTGCATACTGAAAAAAAGGACTTCAGTCTTCACTGTCTAGTAAATGATCTAACCAGATATATAGAACAAATACACCGATGGAAAGGTATTTTAAACCACTACCATAGCAACAGAGTCTATTGGTTTTCAAACACAAGCTTCTCAGTGATAACAAAAACAAACTTACTAGCATACAAACAGTAGGGCCATTTGTATTGGAAAAATACAAAGTGAAATTGAAAAAAATAGAAATTTGTTTTGCTTAGCAGTAATGCTGCCATAAGCATAGCATCTTCCACCAGCACTGGGTGACTTTCTAGAACACTGATTCTAGTTCAGCAGTGAACTCGTAGACTTATGTTGGCTTTGTTTGAAGAATGCTCCATGCTTTATCATGTAAAAGTTGCCAGACTAGTAATCTCAGTATTTCTTGCCTTAACAAACAAACCTTAAATAAAGCCCTCTCGCTACTGCTTACATAGCAAGCAGCAACTCGCCAACCTCAGTCTGCAATTTGGTGATTCCTGAAGCATTCTTCTGTCTTTTATACTGCCCTAGGCACTTTCCAACCAGCAACTTTGTGTTCATGTCCCACTCGGGCGATTTATACACCTCCATAACTCTTTTTTTCCCTGCCTGTCAGGAGCTTGACCTGTATTAAATTACTTCTGATAGCCAACACATACCTCAATTAATATCTGTCTGTTCTTTGATATGCTAAAGGACAATTTCTACTACAGCAATGGGAGTTCTGCTACTCTCCCAGCCCCTTACCCTATCCAAGGGAGAATGAAGAGGTAGTGGAACTGGAAACGACAAAACAGCAACATGCATTAGTATTGACAAGCCACAATGTCTACACAAACCACTTAAAAAATTAATAGCCATAATCTTACACAAATCTGGAACAGGGAGGGGTTTTAGGCTGCGTAGTGCTCAAGTAAATGAATTAAAAATAGGTTCGTCTTGCTGCAGGGCTGAATTTCGGTAAAATTCTGCTAATGTATGACTTTTAAATCAACATGAAAATTTGTGACAAAGGAAAAAAGGAACAGTCAGATGTTTTTTAGTCAGAAACCTAGAAAAACTTTCCATTATTATTTACCTCTTCCTTGTCTCATCTGCTCAGTACTGAGCGCTCCTTCACTACTGGAATGAGGCAGTTCTTTACGGACAGGTAAAAACTCTGAATCTCGACTTTCATGCTGCTTCAGCACTGCTTCAAGAACAGCCATTTCTTGTTGAAGTTTTTCTAGGTTGTTTTGCATAGCATTCTTCTGCTGCAAAAGATACAAGATTGTCAACATTAGCCAGCTCATTTTTGATCTTTAGAATATTTTTCTTGGTAACAAATGCTTGAAAAATATATACAGCAAAAGGATTTCTAATTAATTCTTTAACAAGTGTTTAGAAGTAATTTTTACTGCAATGAACACATGATATATCAAAAGAAAAAAAGAAATACACAGTCATTTTGCTGTTCAAATTATTTCAGTTTAGAAGATTTATCCTAGTTCAATCAATAATGGTTACCGGAAAAAAAAATATACAAGGTTGGGGTTGGTGGAAAGGACCTGTGCCAAAAATCATTTCAAAGTCATTTTGTTCCAATTGCATTAGCTGGTTAATGTAGAAATGAAGCATCAAGCATTGAGTTCTTGCGCTTTCCATACTTAGTGATTGTCACGAAGACTACTTGAAGTATTTCATCATACTCTCCTTAATTTTAATCCCAATCTCTGAAAAATACAGTACTATCTACTAAAAAACATACCTACAGCTCCTCATATGTACACGACAGTTCAAGGCATCTTTTTTTTTTAAACACCTAAGGTGTCCACTATACTAACTAAAGCAGTTTCTACAGCATGGAAAATTTTCTAGCTCCAGCACTGACACCATGTGGAACGTTGTTGTTACTGAAGCAATGCAAAAACCAAACAGAAATAAATCCATATTGACATCATTTCATTTCACCCAGACAAATCCCAGTTTCTCTACAAGGAAGCTACTTCAGGGAGCAATGCACTGATGCAGTACAGAAGAACCACCCCTAAAGGAGTAAGATATAGTCTTCTCTGAAACGCACAAGATCCCATCAAAATACATATTGTGAAGACAGAGATTTAGGATAAGACCTATGAACAAAAAAATACCAGTCAGCTAACATAAAATCTGGCCATTGAATGGGAAATGAATATCAGAGACAAGACACAGTGCTAAGCAGATCTTCCATCGGACACCACCTATCAGGTCTTATATCCATAATATTCTAAAACAGAATGGTTTGATTTACTCAGTCCTTCACACAAATAGTTATAAATTCTCATCAGTCGAGCCTATAACTATCAGAAGCACAGGTTTTCAGCATCAATTAAACATGACGATTAAGTTCAGTAATAATGAAATCAATAAAGCATCATGATCAGAACCACAGAACAAGTTATAGCCATCAGAAAGTGATATTAGCCTGGAGGACAAAGTTGGACAGATAATCAAGAACCACAGAACTACTTCTGTGTTAATAACAGCCTTGGAAGTAACCCAGCTACAGGAAGAATGGTGCTGAAAGCACTTTCCTGCTATGCTGACTTTCGTGCACTTGCCTGTATCCAAACTGGCAAATCACACCAAAAACGTACATTGACTACAGAATTTAGTGCATGAACTCATTCACCTGTGTAGTGAGGATTTCACCCTGAGAGAACGGTCCGGTTGAATCTTCTATGTGACTTGTTTCACTGTCATATCCAGACGCTTCACCTTGAAGGAGGCAGAAAAAAATCTGAAAGTTAGTTAAAAAAAAAAAAACAAAACACCCCCCCCCCCCCCCCCCAAAAAACAAACAAGCATTAACAGGAATTTCTTTTACCATGCAGCTGATTTAATCAGCCATTAGCTACATATAGCTGTATTTAGCTATAACATTTCAAAAGTTTCAATAATGCTTGAAGTAGAAGGATAGATCTACTTCAGGTGACAATTTAAAGAATACCTTCATATACATACAGCAAAGTCAATGGAACTCAAGCTAAATGTTTCAATAGTGAGGAAATCAGAGTCATAATTAAGTCATAAGTTTGAAAGAAACCCTACAGAACTCTACAAAGATATTTCAAAAACATGTAAACTGGGAAAACAACTTAAGTAGCCTCTACGAAGCTTCGCTGATAGACCCAAATATGACATTGCAATAAGGCAGCCAGCTCTTCACTCAAAAATTACCTTCTATCAGACAGACCTCTGGCGCTCCATTTCTTTATCTATTTTTTCCCCCCTCTAAACAAATAATACGAGGGAAATGTGACTTTTAGGAGATAAACCACTAAGGGGTTTGTTTAGAGCTGATACTTTTCTTCACAAGAGCAAGCTCGTTTTAAAAGCAGAACAAAGCAGAGAAATAAATTAAATCTTGTTTTGTACCTAGGTTTGCTCCCATGTTTGCATCTTCTTGGCATTCATCATTCAGGTTATTTTTCTTTAGCCCTCCATTACAACTTTGAGAAGTTTCTTTACTGTCATTCCAATTACTCATTTGTTTGGATCCAAGAACTAGTGTTGAAGATTTCTTCAGTTCTTGGGCCCCATCACCTGACTCTTCAGACACGTTGGATTGGGAAGAAAATAAATTAACGGAACATTCGGACTCCTGGCTTGGAGAAACACACCCAGCACTTTGGGCAGCTTTGGGTGTCTTCTGCATACTAGGGTCCTGATGACTTTCGACGTGAGGCAGCATGCTGGGACTTACTGAGGACTCGACCACAGGTGTCACCTGTTTATTGAGCTGCAAAGGCGTGCTTGCTGATTTGCCAAATATTAATTCCTGAAAACATGGCAAATTTTCATCCTCACTAGATTCTTCCTCTGAAGACTGCAGCTTCCGCACTCTTCTTCGAGATCTCCGCATACCTTGAGACAGAAAGGTAGAACTCACACTTCTTTCATCCAGTTGTTTTGCCAGGATGCTGTCGCTTCTTTTGGCAAACACAGCAGATCTCTCTTTCTTCTCAGTTTCACAAAAGCTGTTGCTCTCCTGAATATCATCATCAGAGCAAAGTAATCCATCAGGGGTTTCAGACAGGCTGGGAAAGTCTGTACTAGCTTTAAGAGGCTCTTCTAGAGCATCTGAAATTAAACACGCGGGCATCCCTGTGCTGGCAGTTTGGGATGCCTGTTCTTCACTGCTCTTTGATAGTTTTCTTTCTCTTTTGCTATCTTTCTTTTCCACCCCTTTGAGGTTAAATTCAGCAGGACAAACCACTGATGTGGGCCCAAAGTCTAATACTGGTCTGTGGCTTCCAGAAACTTCAGTGTTTTCTGCCTGATTACTTTCTGAATTGAAGCCTATTTCATTAACTGGGCTTWTTCTCTGGAAAGCATCCTCTTCTGTATGACTCTGATCACTTTGGCTTCTATTACTTTTGAACGGATTCTGACTTAACTCGCTTTCTACCACTGTATCTGCTGACACTGTCTTATTATCTGCAGGTTCTCTTTTTTGCTGTTTGTTTTTATTCTCACCACTAGTGGCACCTACCCTTACTGGTGGGGTCAGATTCCTTTGATCCACAACGTGTACAACACTTTCTGCATGTTCCCCAGTGTGCATGCATTCAGTATTACTGGCAAAGCAAGAGAGAGGACCAAGACCAACAGATTCACAGGTCTTAAGCTTTTCTTCCTCATAAACCCTACTCACATTTTTAGAAGTTATTTTCTCTACTTGAAAATTATCAGTTTTTAAATATTTGCTATGCTTATTTTCTACCTGATCAGCACGTGATGTCTTTAAAGTTTCAGAAGCCTCATCTACTGTGGGTGCCTTCAGGGGACTAGGATGAAGGGTAAATGATAGTCGTTTGGAATGCCTAAATATATTGCGCAGATACTGTGTATCTAATTCACTATCTTCAGCTTCCTTGGTCACTTCCAAAACGTTTTCGTTTCTCAAGACCTCTGGGACGTTATCTGTACACTGTCTGTTTTTCTGAGGAAAAGTAGCACTTACTTCAGTTGTCTTTTCTTTGGTCACCTGGGAAGCAGCTTGYACAGCATTCACTGCAGGAGGCTGAAAGGGGAAAGGGCTACTTAGCATTTCACCTTCCTGAGAGTCTGTATCGGGTACCACAGAACCCAAATTTGAATGATGACATGAAGATGTAGGATTGAAGAGACTTTTTCCGGTGTCTGCAGTATCAGATGAATTCTTTAGACYAGTCTCTATTTCATCAGCTTTCAGATCAGCACTCTTCAGATCAGCAGCTGGTCTACAGCACACTGTATCCTGCTGCTCATCYGAGTCTTTGCATTCCGAAGAGTGAACCAGCACATTCCTTTGCACCCTGGAGAAGGGCTCCCCACTTCCACCATCAAGCCTCCTTGCTCCCTCAGTTAGACTACTCCTTCTTCCTTTATCTTTTGTCATTTCTTCAGCAAGTAACTGAAGCCTCCTGCTGCGCCTGACCTGTCTGTGCTCAGAATCACCTTTGCTTGGCTCGTTGCTGCTTGGATAGCTATCAATCTGTGGCTCTGCTGGATCAGGGGAGCCTGAGCTTCTACCAACGACTAACTGTAGAGCATGCATAGTTCTAGTCGAATGCCTGCATTTTTTTGCTGAAGAACTTGGTTTTTTGGAGCTCTTCTGATCATAGCCTTTCGGTTCTAGCACTCCATTAGATTCACAAGTCACTTCTTCAGTAGCCCTTTTCTGTATGGATTCTTCTTCTCCGGGCCCTGCCAGTGTATTATCTTCTCTTTTCTCAGTGACAGAACTCTCATTAACAGCAGAACTTTCATCATGTTTTTTCTTTTCAGCCTTGTCAAGGCACCAGTTAACATTTTGAGGGCACCCATCTGCCTCTTTCACATCTTTTCTCTTGATGAAGTCCTCAGGTTGCAGGACACGGGCAGTCTTCCTTTTACATTTTAGCTTCTCCATTCTAGAATTATTCAAGCATTTTTCATCAGCAGCCACATCTTCATTTTTGGCAATAGGTAAAATCTCTCTGAAAACAATAGCGTGATTTGACTTCCTCTCTCTCTTGTATGTTTTTCCAAATATTTTGTCTTTCAGACTGTCTGCTGTTGGTTTTGACATTTTCTTGTTTTGTTCAGTGAATGCAATTTCTACACAATTTACCATAGGGCTAGTCTTCTCCGAAATAGAGGAATCTTTATCTGACAAACAAGCATCTCCTTCAGCTGAAGTGTCAGTTGCTTCAGCAGGATCATCCTGCGAAGAACTGGAAGAGAGGATCTCATTGCTTTTTGAAAACCACTCATTGACTTTCTGAATGCTTCGCTTTAGTCTCTTCCTAGAAACCTGATTCAGGGTATCACTGTGAGGCATCTCTGGCTTCTCCAGAGAAGATTCTTCAGGAAGACAGTCACTTTCAGGTTCACACATTTCCACATCTTCCACACATTGCTCAATAATATCTATTTTCTTGCTTTTACCCAGCTTGATTTCTGAGCTATCTTCTAAGTCAGACTCTTTGCTTTTACTATTGTACTGAGCTTGTTCTGCAGCCGTTTCTTCTGTGCTTTTAAAGAAAGACACATCCCCTTTCCTCAGTGGGCTACCCACTTTCTCACACTGCTCTGCAAATAAATCTTCAGCAAGAACATTTAAAGGAGAACTCTGGCTTTCAGTCACATTCACTTGGCCAGGTTTAGCATGTTCAGTAATGTTCTGAGTGCTTTTCTTGCTCAAACCTTCCTTTAAGAAACCACTTTCACCTAAAGACGTAAAAGTATTGAAAATTATTAAACCCTATTCTAAAGTACACAAAAATAATAACAACTTTAATGGCGTCTATTGATCTACAATACTTCTTGTTTTAAAGAACTGCTTTGTCCTTCTACCCCCAAAACACAAAATACTACACTACACACAATCCTCCCTCTAGAGAAAGGAAGACCAAATTACACACAACACATGTTCCTCCAACTCCTTGCATGAATTGCCATGTATTGGTCACAAACATGAATTACGAGGGGTAATATATTGGCCTAGATAGGCTAGAATTAGTTTTGCACTTTAGACAGATTTTTTTTCCACTCAATTTCTGTGCACAAAATGCCCACATTTTAACTGCCTGATCTACAGGCACAGTCTCATATTACACTGTCACTAGCTGTAGGCATCAATACAAGCACAGGAAATAAGACTGCAAAATAATGTAAGCATTAAGATACTAGCTTAGGATTTTTCCTTCAAGTCTTCCTTTTGATCATTTTGTCATAGAAATAATGAACACACCTATGACATCTGACAGAATTACTTCTTTGGCATGCAGCTTGATAGGCTGTATTTTGCAGGAATATTCATTCGTCTTCTCAGAACTCTTAAGTTCTTCTCGCTTTTCTTGAGATGATATCGGAAGCACTTTGTCTCCTAACCTGCTGGGACGGATTGTGAACAAAGATCTAWCTGCATTAGAAGGCCAACCACAGTTTGCCGTAATAGTAGGTAACACTCAATTTTCCCTTTTTTGTCTTGGAAACAGGTTGCTCTGAAACTGGATTGCTGAGTAAAAATAATCATGCAAAAATAATACTTGCCACACCAGATTCCCTCAGAGATAATTTTTTTAAAGAACCCTCCTGCCAAACACTAAATTCAGGAAGGWGTGTACTTTCTAAAGCATACTGGTTATTTTTTCCTCCAGATGCTCTAACATCTATGTATGARACAAAACATTTATAAAATAGCTTGAAAGTACAACACAAGACWAATGGAAGGAATTCAGCTGCCCATTCTACTCTAATGCACTCAAAGTTARAACACTTAAGATCTTGGAGAGCTCTTTGTCCTGTGTTAAAAAGCTAAAGCATAGGAAGCACAACCCTCAACTGTGATCTTTAGAAAATCTGAACTGCTTAATCACCATTACTTACCCAGTATTGCTTGCCTGTTTGAAAAGCTCTTCGGATGAATCAGAGCCTAAAAATAAATCAGCTRTTACTCTCGTTAGAAAGACTCGAGACAAGTGATTTGTCAGATTCAGTGTCTGTTATCACAGGAACATGTGTCCTCAGCACTTTCAGAAAACCAGTTCAGTACTGGTGATTAGGCAAAATATCAGCATAGTCTTTTATCTCATTATAGTGAATTCTATGTATAAGCATCACGTAGCCCCAGCATAAAATCTTTTATTTTCCAGAGAGAGATGTTTAATACAGTAAACAATAAGAGACGAAACTAAGATTTARCTCTAGTTTCCAATTTGATACAGAAAACTGTTGCTGGTATTTAGAATTTATAACTCATAGTCAGAGAGGGGTAGAAAGAAGCTCTAGCTCAGATCTTGTGATTGACAGGACCTATCCTGTTTCAAGAAGTTCACACCAGATACAGTCTGCACCACATACAGAAAAATCAAGTTTGACTGAGAAAAGAATATTTAATCTTTCCTCCATTAGACCTCTCTCTTTTTTCYCCCTCCAGTTATTAAACACAGTCTCAAGTCACTGTAAGTAAATTTCAATCATCTTTAGTAAATGCTGTTTATCATTAGTTATAACAGTACAACTACTTTTGTATCTATAAGTTTCTTCTTTTTGGGCCTTGTACATTGATGCTTAAATATTTCCTCTGATAACGTATTACACAGTATCAGAAATTCAGAAAAACCTCCAGTTTACAGATTTTGAATCGTCCAAGTATTGTTTTAAACTCCTCAAATGAGGACAAAGGACAAACAAACCCCACAACCAAAAAATCTTTGAACTTCATCACCTCTCATTTCTTTGCAAGTATTCTGGAAAAGCTCTGCTGTTGYGTATCCACAGCAGCTCTTACCAAACTCTATATAGATCCCTGTGTCAGAGCCACATTCCCGGTTTCTGTTTCGCAAGGGATGCCTTTTGACCCTGGTGTCTCTAAGCTGTGGATCTGCATTAGCTTCCTGCAGACAGGAAAATACAAAATAATAGTTATTAACATTTGCTGGCTARATTATAGCCAGCATTTATATACTGGCTATAACTAATGCATAATCAACAATAATACATGCTATGTCATACTACATTATATATATATTATAAGTAATACAGAAGGGTGTAAAGAGGAAAGAGCCAGACTTTCCTTAATGGTGCCACAGAAGGACAGGAGGCAATGGGCACAAATAGAAACACAGAATACAACCCCCAAATATAGGAGAGCGATTCTTTCYTGTGAGAGTGGGTTGCACTCTGGAACAGGTTGCCTAGAGAACCCAAGGAGCTCCATCCTTGGGGAGACTCACAACCCAACTGGACAAGTCCTGGGCAGCCTTTTGTACCTGTGCCTACTTGAGCTTGGACTAGATGATCTCTAGAGAATCCTTCCAACCTCAACCATTCTGTGAGCAGGGAAGAAGGGTGGTTGGACYATGCGCTCTCATGAGGTCCCTTCCTCTCACCCTCATTTCAGTAAGAGAACAAAAGGGACATACTATCTTCTCTCTCTCCTTTCTTTTTCTCCCCCTCAAGTCCTCTTATGTAAGCACTTTAAAAAGTAGGTTTTCAAAAGGAAGGCAAGATATTCAGAGGTCCCTATCAAGGAGTAACATTCAAGACAAATAGAGATCTGAAAGGAAGCCAAAAAATATTCTCCCATGTCATTAATTTATATACATATATTTATGCATATTGTCAGTAAAACAATAATAAATATACAAAAGCAAATTGGGTAAAAGAAAGATTACCAACCAAGGTAAAAGTTTCTTGTGTATTTTCTTTAGCTCTTTTTTTCCTGTTTCTGAAACCCCTGCTTTGAATGACAGAAGTTTCCTTACACAGGGCCTCAGCAGTATTGCCTTCTGTGGATGCTTTAGAAAAGTGATGACTGTTCAGAACTGAAAAATGAGAGTAGAAAAAAAAATCTTACATTGAGCATGACAACAGGTATTARCTATTCATAAAATAGCCTTGTATAAAGCCTGGATAGCTAGCACATGCACAGCTAAAGGAGCATCATAGAAGTYCTGAAAGATACYTGGMTAACTTAGGATTTTGTCTATATAASTGAACATATTACTACAATTATTACTACACAAATGAAACAGTAAAGACTTTTTTCCCCTCARAAACTTYCAAAAGAATGATGAAAGACTGTTTTTTAAAGCAAAATATCTTCCTTGCTATGAAAAAYAATGAATGTTTTCCAAAATATAAGCAAGCATGTGTCCAAGTTGTCAAYGCTTTATACAAATAATACTTACACTTCACTCCTGTGTCCAGTTCAAAAGCATGGATAGTTTCCAACAATCCTTCTATTAGCTGCTTAAATCTAGAATTTTCCTGAAGACTTCTGAAATAACACGACCACATCAGATGTTTYTAAAGCAAATCTACAGGTAAGCTACTAACGTTTCTCCTAGAATTTAGATTGAGCAAAACCAAAAATAATAATAATAATAAAAAAGGATATTACTTCAAAGCGGAAGATGTGACAATCACAAATTGATACCCAGGAATATCAATACAACTCCCCCAAGCAGCCTTTACTATAGGAATTAAAACATTATCATCAGCAAGTGAACAACTCATTGTATTTTTCTTCATATGGCCTTGGCAGAAAGGAACTCATTGTAAGAAAAATATTATGAAAAATGTCCCTACCTATGACCATTAAAAAAAAAATAAAGAGGAGTAAAATACTAAAAATACTAAAATGCAAACATTTTGCTTGACAACCACCCTTCTTTGTTTAAGACAATTCTAAGAGAATGAATCACCTTTGCCTTAGACATCACACAGATACTTCTGATCCCTAAGCCTACTTGCAGAGATACATTACCTTTTGGTAACTTCAGTCTTGCAGAGGGGACACTCTATCACACCTTTCTTCTTTCTGCTTATGAGTTTAAGCATGCAGAACCTAAGGGAAAATCATGACAGCAGCTTAAATAGAAGGATTTTACTTTCTTAAAAGATGTGCCTGTCTGTGCTCCACTTAGTTCATGGTGAGGAAGAACAAATTGACCAAGCATTGGAGCTGAAAGTTTGCAACCTACCTGCAGAATATGTGATCACATTTTGTGGAAACTGGCTCCTTTATCAGATCCAAGCTACCAAAAGAAAATGGGAGGAGGAAAACAAGAACACGGAAGTTATTTTAAGAAACAGCAGTGACAAAATAACATTCAGAAACAAAATCCCTTTGTCAAACTTGGGGGAAAAAAGAAAACAGGGTAGGGAAGAGAACCCATCTGAGCATGCGAGAAGCAAGCAGAGCTACAAATATTGCCATGTTTAGATGCAGGACGTATAGGATAACTTTTATGCTATAACAATAAAAACTGCACTTAGGGTGCATGCAAAAAAAAGCTGAATTGATTTGTCCTTATTATCAACCTCTTTGCAGCCTAAAGTTTACATCCCTTAGCATACCCTTGAACAGAAAGGAAAAACAACCAGAGATTAGTCTATAAATAAAGACTTGTTGGCTTCTAGATTAGTARATAAACCAACGACTCGCTGACTTCCCCGGCGAGGCTCCTGGCCGTACCAGATGGGGCACTCCAGGTTCTTCTGCATGGCCGCAAGGACRCTCCGCACGTCGCCCACGGACACGTCCATCCCCGCTCCCGARACGCTACGCGCGCGGAGCGGAAGCGCCTGAGGGCGGAGGGGCCCGACGCGACCCCGCGGGCGCCGCTCGCAGCGCCCGAACCTCCCGCGAAGGCCGGAGCTACCGCTGCCGCCGCGCGGCCTTCACTGCGCGACTCTTCGCGCCCTTTCCATCACCTAGGAAACCAGCGCCCAAACGCAGCCAATGCCGCCCCCGCAAGAGCAGCACGTGGCCCGAGCGCGCGCTCCTATTCGTTCCTTCTCGCYGCGTAGCACTTCCGCGGGGGCGGTGGAGGGAAGGTGATAGCCGATTGGCTCTGCCGCCCCCACGTGACCCTTCGCTCGCTGACATCACCGCACGGGGGGGGGCCCGCAGCCTCCGGTAGAACGGAGGAGTGTGAGGGGTCGCGCGGAGGAGCAGCGGGAGGGGGCGGGCAAGGCGCCCCCCGGCGGCGGGAGCGTGAGCGGCGGCGGGAGCCGCAGCGCCGCCTCCAACGTAAGCGTCGCTCGCGCCGCCGCCGCGGGGCCCCGGTCTGTTTATTGTTTTGGTTCCAGCGCTCCCRTCCCGCCCCCTTGGCCAATGAGGGCCTTGCGGCGGGCGAGTGGCAGTCGCGGCGGCCAATAGCGGCGCGGCGGGGGCCCCGCGGCCGCTCCGCCATGTTAGGGCCGGCGCGGCGGCCTGGCCGGGCCTGACGCGCCGCTGCCTTCCCCCCCGCTCCCCTCGCAGGGCCGCGCATGGAGCCGCACGTCGATCTCCGCGTGAGCTGCCGCGGCCAGACCCACAGCTTCCTCGTGTCCGACTCGCTGCGCACGACGTGGGCCGATGTGGAGGCCATGGTGAGCGGTCGGGCCGGGAGCGGCTGCCGGGCCCAGCCCCGCGCCCGGCTCCGCTCCGGATACCTGCTTTGGGCGCTAATTCCCTCTGAATAACCTCTCTGCTCCTGCTCTCTACGGGTCCCCTTTTTTCCCCCCTCCTTATTAAGGTAGATATAATGAAAAAACGTTTTTCTCTTCTCATAAAGTACACTTATGAAGAGCTGCCTTTGCCCTCCTGGGCGCTGACTTGCTAATAAACGAGGTTTTTCCGCCTTGCTTCCTGGTTTCCTCCATGTACTGCCTTGGCTATGGGTGTTTATTCTCTTAGTAGGTCGCCCACCCTGAGACATTAGCTCCGGTTGTTGTATGTTAGRTAACTATCCCAGAGAGTTTCCCTTTGCATGGTTGTTGCCATTGCTGTTTACTGAAAACCCGTCTGGGTGTGTGCGGGGGAAATTGATGTTGTACGTCAATGGTTAGGTTGAAATTACAGTGGTTTTATTTTTTTATCACTCCGTTTCTCAGTTTTTTTGCTTTGTCCTGTTGCACCTGCTTTTTGCTGTATTTCAATCGTGTGGAAGTGGGTCTAGTTCTCGTTTAATGCCCTTGGGGGCAAGGAGATGCTGCAGGAATGCCCGAGCTAGTTGGYGTCGTAGCAGTGTCAAGGCTGGAGCAGGTTGCTGGGTGAACGTGGTGTCGTCCTTAATCTTCTGCACCGTGACAGTTGACGTGCGCTTGTTCCCAGCGTGGTTCTCTTTGTACCATTGAGTCTGTCTACACCGCAGTGCGAATGCATTGTCTTAAAGCAGGATGAGATAATCTGTTTTTTCCTGTTTCTAACTGTGCTCTTAAATGCGTACAGCATAATTAGGTGTCTGATTCTGGATTGTCTTTTGCTCCAAGCGGATCTTAAAGTCAGTGTAGAGAAATGCTCAGGATTACATATTTTTTTCCTCCTAGTGCACGCTGACAAATAGTAATTTGGGAGATGCAGTTTTGGAAGAGCCTCACTGTAGCACAAATTTTGTAGTTATTCTGTTGTACTCACATGCTTCTATGTAAGTTCCAGCATTTGTTAATCCTGTAAGGCTGCTGGTAGCCTCCCTTTAGATCTAGGCTAGCAGAACGTATCTCGTATATAGCAATCTCTTTCAGACAGTTTTCTTTTGAGGCGAAAACATAGTTTTTAGAGATAAATGATACAAAAGCGCTAACAAGTCTCAAAGACTTATTCAACACCAAAATAATTGCCTCTTCATATGGCTCACTTGATAGTGTTGGACCTGTCCCACTAAGGCAAAATAAAAAAATAGCTAGTTCTCATTCATAAATATGTAATGCATTTTTTGCTCATAAATAGAGAACGTTAGCCAACAAATACTATAGTGAACRGCTCTGCACTTTTTGGTATTTGAATGGATTTTTTTCATCATGTCTTTCAAAACACAAGTAGGTTTGTGCAATAAGGTTGTTTGTGTGTTTGCGCGCTGTCTTCCAGGCAGTCTTTTATGTAAAAGTTAGCGTTCAAGGATTATTGGCTTTAGCCGCTGTGGATTGACGTGTTTATCATGACTGAGTTCAATAACCCTGAGCAAGCTCTCCTAAAATGGAAAGGTTGTTAAGTGCTCCTGATTTTGGGGTGGTAAATATTAACTAAGGAAGGGGGAAAAGGGGGAAGTGGAAAGAAAAACTCTTTTGTTGCAGAGAGTTAGTAAAGGGTGGAAGCAAAGTGTAGGGGGACGGTATTGTTAGACTTCAGAAAAATACTTCTAGTAAAACCATTTATTTCAATTGAAACTAGAGTGATGGGAGGGTTAAACCATTTTCCCTATTAATCGTTTTTTAACTGAGAACTGCCGTAGTTCTTTCTGATTGTATGTTCTTCTACTTACAGGTGAAGGTTTCATTTGACTTGAACAACATACAGATCAAATATGTTGATGAGGATAATGATGAGGTATACATATATGAATTGTTCTGCATACCAGAATACAGCTGGTTGTGTGACCCCTTCTGCTTGATAGTTTGTACTGGATCTTTCAGAGCTTGGGTTTTGCTCTTTCTTGTCCACTGGAGAAGAGAATGGACAAGAGAATTCTCATTAAAACATTCTTTAGAATTGATTGTCCCTCTTCCCACTGCTACAGCCCAGTAGAAAACCCAGTGCTGCTGTTGGGTGTGTGTTTGTGTGTGTGTACTGGGAGAGTCAGGTAGTTGTAGCCAGTTGTGTTCACAACCACAGCAAAGCTCTGGTTCTACAGTCTGTACCCCTTCCCCTGAAAGATATAGGTTACCTATCACTTGCTTATGTTTACGTCAGCGATCTGGTGTATTCAAATCCTCTGCTTGCTTTATTTCAATGCTGTAATCTCCAAGCAGATTACTGACTCAGAAAGGAAATTGGTTACTTCTAGTTGTCCTCACTGAGTAACTTCCTGCTCGGCGTGACCTTGCCAGCTGATACTCTGTTTATTAGAGATTTAGTTCAGAACATAGCTCTGAAACTGAACTGCACGTCTGTGGGTTTTTTTTTAAAAAAASTCTGGCTTCTGCTATTTGATTTATAGCTCTCAGTTGTGGCAGTAGTTATTGGTATTTCCTCTTAGGGGAAAAAAGGAAAAATGTTATTTAGCATGTGATAGTGTTAAATATGACAGAAGGCAAGGGTGGTATTTTAGAAATAGAATGAAAACAATTTATCTTGAAAGCATATTACACTTTAAAAGGAATTGGAGAAGTTATATCAGTGGCTCATACTGCTTTTTCTCTTTGCAGGTCTCTGTGAATAGCAAAGGTGAGCTAATACTTTCCCAAAGCAAAATTTGATGCATAAATAGACCTCAAATGCCCAGGTTTTTGAAGAAGCAGATAAGAATGCTCGTTGGCTGACTGGGTTTTGTGTAGGATGGGGGAGTCAAAGCCTTCCAAAAGGAAAGGGATTTTGATCCATAGGAAGTGGATTTTTTCAGGAATAGCTGAATGGAATGCTAGATCTGTAGATTGTTAATGCATGCTTGCCTATTGCCCTATGTATGTATTACCTTTGTAAATTGTTCAGAACTAAACCTAATGATGAAAGAAGGGATGAAAGACATTTCTCAGTTTAAGATTTCCCAAATATTGCATAATGAAATGACATGTATTGTCTAATATGAAGAAAATCACTTTTTTGTTTTGTTTTTTAGAGGAATATGAAGAAGCTCTGAAGGTAACTACCCTCTTTGGCCTTTTAAATATATTAAACTTTTAGCTGTGAAAATTGGTGTAACTGARAAAATATTGCATTATCTGTAGAAGTCAATTTGCTTCGCCTTTTGGCTTTGGAYGTTAGCTTGATTGTTGCAGGATTTTTTTTTGTCCACATCCTGACTAACTTGACTTCTATGAATCAGTTCAATAGATGGTTGTAATTCAAGGTCAATAAACACAGACTTCATTGGAAAAGTGACTGGTTTTCTCAAATGCTTAAACAGTAAAACCTCCACATTTGAAGATAATTGGACTCTTACAGGTTCCTTTTAAAAAATCTTGGCATACAAAACTAGCTTTGTGTTTTCAGACAATAAAAATGCCATTGATAGAATGCTGAGTTACTTAACTAGTTAAATGTAGGCCAAATAAGAAATGCATTTCCCTCAAACATTAATTAGCACAGTGTTAATGTTTTCAGAGTTTTTGATCATTTTGACACATTACTCATTTTTCCTCTCAGTTGCTTCAGTACAGTGCTGCATTTTAAAATAATTTTGTATGTTAGTTGCAACTGGAGAAAGTAGAGCGTTCTCATGCACTGTCCCTTTAGATTGCAGTTAAACAAGGAAATCACCTCCAGATGAATGTGTATGAAGGAAACCCTTCTCCAGAAGGAACCTCATATTCTTGTCCTTTGCAACTGGGTGCAMGTTCCATGTCAGAAAAGCTCACTGTCCTTCAAGACAGGAGGAAATCTCTCCCACACAATTCCGTGGTAGCTTCAGGCTTAGAGGAAGACATGAAAAATGAAAAGGAGACGACAAATCAGGTAGGATGCAGAGCTGAACTGCATATTCATTTGAAAAATAATAATTTGTAATTGTAACTCACCTCATAGTCTGCTTATCCTCTTTACCCATGCATGGAAACTTTGTTCAGAACTTAATCTTGATTTGTAACTATCTGTACTGATTGAAGGTAGYAAAACTGATAGTTTGAAAGAGGATGATTTGATGCAGCATTTAGAAATACAGCTTCTTTAGTGCTGACCGGTTGTCAGTATTTTGCAAAACAAAACAATCAGACTCCTGAAGCCCTGATTTCCAAATGGCAACTTCTTAATGACTTTGTTTGGCTTTGATATGTAGTTCTCACAAATGCTAATAAGGCAGAAATCTTTCAGGACTGATGAACCCTGGTGGGTGGATTGTGTGGGTTTTCCAGTGTTCTGAAAACTTGAAGTGCTGCTAGGGGAAAGCTACTTGAGGGGAGAGCTGTTTGAAACAAAGCTGTTTCTGTTTGCTGTTTTGATTTGTTTGCAGCTTTGCRTACTTACCATTTGTGACTTTTCTCCTCCCTTCCAGCAAAAGTTGAATCGCAATAGAAAAGGAAGAAAAAATGAAAATCCTCCAGAATGGTTTACTAGTTACTTGGAAACAGTAAGTGTATTTTCTTCTGGATTTTAGTGTTCTTAAAGGGTGACGTAAGAGATTACAGGTAGAAGAGATACTCATGATGCTTAACTTCATACAGCTGATCACATTAGCAGCAAGTTCTTAAAGTGCATTTAGGCATCTAATCCTATGGCTTTTGTGGAAGTCAGAGATGTACTAGATACCATCTTGAAGGATAGGTGCTGCTGTAAAAGTAAAAATTGATACAYGAACTTCCTTGTCAAACCTGGATTGTTTCATTTATGCATTTAGTGCTTTTGAATATAGTTTTCAGTAGCATATCTTTGGAAGAGGCTGAAGTAGTTGTTTTAGATGTTCTCCCATTTGGTGTTTTGAAATTCCTGTGCTAGATTCCATGTTGTATTCCAGACAACCGTAGAAACTTTATGGGTAATCATCATGAGAGAGCACAAGAAATAAGGTGTTGCTTTTGGAGAATCTCGTTTGACCAGCTTCAGCAGGGTAATACTCATACTTAAGGCTTCCTGAGATTTAAAACACAGCATTTAATGACCTGGCTTTTCTTGATGGTTAGCTTTAAGAAAATAGTTTCCAAAAGGCCAATGAATAAGACTTAAAGATTGMTAAGACAAGGTATGATGATGCAGTAGTATATGCATTTAACTATATTTTTTTCTCAGAATTTTCTTGTTCAGTTTGATCTGAAATGTGTTGCAAGGGGTGGAGTCTGAACTGCTTTGAGAATTAGAAAGCAGGAGATTTGGGGCAATGCAGTCTGATTTCTGAAACTGCGAAGGAAATTCAGTAGGAAAGTCCCATTTGTGATTACTTTTTTTAAGTTCAGGGAACAGGTAGTAAAGGAAACTGTTGAGAAGCTTGAGCAGAAGCTGTATGAGAAGCTGCTTCATCACAACCAGCCTGCAGATTTTTCCGAGAGCTCTGCTCCAGCAGCACCTCCAGCTTCAGAGCCCCAGTCAGGGACTGATGGCCAGTGTGACTGGCTGATCTCCTGCTGCAGCTGTCAGGCACGAATCGTTGGCGTCCGCTATCAGTGCAGGTAAGATCTGATAGAGATGGGCATGTGGGAAATGTAATGACGTGTGTGACTGAGAATGTGGGAAATGCTTTTGGTATCATAGATTTGTGTGGCTAGTCTGTAATATGATACACATTTCAGAACCCATTTCATAAATAGGTTATGTTTTCAATTGTGATCAGCTGTTATCTATATAAGATTGAGACTGCTTTTATTAGAAAAATACTTTGGCATTAACACTGATGTTCTAATTGCGAAGGRAAATGTTTCAGTTGGTTTAGTAAACTTCAGCGAGGAAAAATAGCGTGTGGGGGAAACAACTGTTGTTAATATATAAAGAGATATAAACTACCTGCTTTATATCTCTCAAAGAGATGAAAGTTTCATTTGACTTTTTTACCATATAATGCAGCTTTTGGCTTTGGGTTTCTGTATGCTTTATAAGCTTTACAACAACACTGTTATCAGTCATGTAAAGTGTTCCAGAGAGGTTCCAGAGAGGTTCCAGATACTGATGGTCCATCTGAGAACCATCTTCTGTTTCACYTGGTCACTACTTAGTGATAGTTTGATACTGAGTTTTTCTTGGGTTAATTATCCAATTATCTCTTTTTAGTGCACTAATTCTTTCTGTCTCTTAGTAATCTTTTGCCTTCTCGTTGCAGCCTTTGTCCAGCTTACAATATCTGTGAACAGTGTGAAGCAGGAACGTATGCTCATGATCCCAATCATGTTTTGTTAAAGCTTCGAAGACCTGTACTGTGTGTTGCTGAGAATTATGGCCTTGCACAGGTTTCACCTCGTCTCCCTGCTACTCTCGAGCAAGTCAGGTAAATTGTGGCATGTGTTAGTCCTTGACAAGATTATTCTGATTAACTTGATAGTGGAAACACCTGTAGTTGGGATGTTGTTCTGTTGTTTTTTATGGATCTAGATCTAAAGAGAACTGTCAGAAATACTAATAGTGCTCTGCAAATGTAGTGTGAGTAGCTGAAATGAGTGATGTACCTTAGAGATTAGTAGTCTTGAACTTTTGCAGTATAGTGAGAAAATAGAAAAGATAGTTATTATGTAGTAGAGCTTTGTGTGTAATAGGAGAAGCTGCAAACTTTATCTTTCTGTTTCTTTGAACAATGTTTACTAATTTGTCCAAGTTTGCTTCCACTGAGGTCATACCTAAGTATCTTCACTATTTTGAAGATAATTCTTTAAAATCGTGAATATCCAGTCTAGAAGCATGAGAAACTTCTTGAAATCATCTATGTGATATGAAGAACGTTTTGACTGAAGTTAAGTTATAATCAACTTGGTATACTATAACCACATGGCTTGCTTTCTCTACAGGCTCCAGAAGCAGATGGACAAAAGATTTCTAAAGGCCGAAAAGCAAAGATTACGAGCAGAGAAGAAACAACGAAAAGCAGAGGTTCGAGAGCTCAAAAAGCAACTCAAATTGCACAGGAAAATTCATCTGTGGAATTCTGTCAATGTCCTGGAAACCAGTGGTTCACCTATTCTGAAGACTGAGAGTCTCCAGCCCTTCATGTAAGGAATGTTACCTGAGGCTTTTTTAGTTACACTAAGAAATGATGAGACCTAATTAAAGTAACACAGGGAAGAACGTGAGATCAGTCACTCATTTAAAGTATCATTTGTGATGGCACTCAATGAAAATTTTCTCTAAGTGAAATTTGCAGGGTGGAGGATTTTTCCTGGGAAGTGTATGGAACAAACAAAGCAAGCAACTAATGTTTATTACTGGCAACTTGAACAGATTTCTGCAGACACAGGAGGAAGGGGTGTGCCCAGGCTTATATATACACACATGCTGTCACACACAGTGTAAATGAAGGTTGTTGCTAATGTTAAAGAGCCTACATTCTTAATTACTTCCTCTCCAGGTCAGGTATATCCTGTGTGCTTGCCTGGGTGTTTTTTAATGAACTGAGGCTGTGATTTATTAAGACAACAGCCTTTTATGCAAGTTGGACTACTTTACATTTTTCCCTCTGTTTAGTTTTATGAATGTTCTGGTCGAAAACATTTCTTGTACAATTTCTTAAATCGTCTCTTCCATTTAGGACCTTTCTGAGATTCAAAATAACATTAGATTTATTTATACCTGGGGAGAAGACAAAACTGSCATTTTTGCATTCTGTCAACTGAACAGTACTACAGGAACAAAGTCAATATGAACTTGGGCACTGTTAACTTTACTCATATTTCCTGAGCTGTGTTGAGGTTTTGAACCTGCTTATCAAAAATGCATAAAAATGCATAGTGGGGAGTGACAATTTAACATCTAGTTTTGACTGTGGCTCATCAGGCACCTGCTAGTTTTTGTAGTTTAAATGAAAAAATCCACTGTTAGTCAATCCCATTAGTTTCTCTATGAAAACAAACACTGTTCAGATAGAGAAAATTCAAGTTCTGCACTGCTGAATGTAGGCCAAAATGCAGTAAAACTAAAATCAACTAAGAGCAAACTCTTTTCTCTGGATCTTGGGTGCTTTATCTGTGTGATATATATTCTTCCAAATGACCAAATCTTGTTTTCATGTGCTTTAAGCAAAGGAAAGTCATAATGCAACATTTACACTTATGATGGAAGGAGTAGCAAAAAGTTCATTTTGAAGCTGTACTGTAGAAGAAATTTATCTTGTCATCTTCAGTCTATTTTAGCTGTTGAAATTCCTGCAAAAGCCTCTAAGCATGTTTGATTTTTTTTTTTCTCCCCCTTCTCCATTTCCCCTTCTCCCATCCCAGTTCTAGCCAACCCTTCCAAGCAGTTGTACCAACGCTGAGTGCAGTATTTGTGGATGAGAATTTGCCAGATGGGACTCACTTGCAGCCAGGAACAAGGTTTATCAAACACTGGCGAATGAAAAATACTGGTAATGTGGAATGGAGCTCAGACACAAAGGTATCTTTCCTTTGTTATTGCTTKTAAATAGTAAATAGGGAAGATAAAGTTTGTATATTTTGAGAATTTGAGATTGTGATTTCACTTGGCCTKTTAATTCCAGGATAATATTGTGTGCAATTCTGGGCTCCCCAGMACAAGAAGGATTTGAAACTCCTAGTGAGGATTCTGTATAGAGCTACAAAGATGAAATAAGGGACTGGAGCATCTATSTTATGAGGAAGGATTATGTGAGCTKGGCCTGTGTAGCCTGGAGAAGAGAAGGGAGGAATCYTATCAACATGTATAAATACCTAAGGAAAGGATATAAAGGGATGGGGCCAAACTCTTCTCAGAGGTGGCCGACAATAGGACCAAGGGGTAATGGGCACAAATTGAAACACAAAAAGCTTCATCTTTGAGAGCTGCTTTCCTGTGAGGATGCCGGAGCCATGGAACAGGCTGCCCAGARAGGCTGTGGAGTCTCCTTCTCTGGAGATCTTCCAAACTCACCCAGCTGTGATGGGTACCTGTGCTCTGGGTGTCCCTGCTGGAGCAGGGGATTGGACTAGATGATCTCTGGAGAACATCYRACCTCAACCATTCTGTGACTCTGTGAATATATTCTTAGGTATATATATGACGGAAGCATTAAGACTAGCTGAAAAGGTCTTAGTGCTGTTTTAATGTTATTGTTTAACCTTGTTAAATGGCTCGCTTGCATTCCTGACTTTAAGAAGCAGCCTTTTCCTTGAGTGTAGATCAAGTTCCTGTTGGTAGATGAGTATCTTCYGACTTTTCAGTGACTCTAACGTGAGAAACTACAACTTTCTATGCAAACTTTAGAGATTAAGGAGCATTTCAGTTTTTCTGTTGAGGGGCCTCATAGTACTGAGCATGCAGAAGAGAAGCTGCTGGTAAACTTCCTTTTCTTTTTCTGTTTATTCCAGCTAAAACTTATGTGGGGAAATTTGACCTTAGCATCTTCTGAAAAAAAAGATGTGTTGGTACCATCCYTGCCATCAGGACAAGTTGGAACTGTTTCAGTTGAGTTTGTGGCTCCTAATATAGAAGGAATCTACACATCTCACTGGAGACTGTCCCACAGAGGGGAGCAGTTTGGGCCAAGGATCTGGTGCAGCATTGTTGTGGATCCCTCACCAGATAATGATTGCTTGGAGAACAATTCCAGGGATTCYAATTCCCCTCAAAAGGATAAACCTTCCAGTGACGAGCAGGCAAGTATCTCAACTTCTACYGAATTACCTAGTAGAAAGAGCAGTTTACATTGTTCAGTTCGATCTGCAGTGTTGCAGTGATCTTCACTATCTTGAATCTTGCCCTTATGGTCCTAAAATGGATGATGTTTTTTCCAAGTTRCTATGTACGATGCTCAGACTTCATGTAACTATTTGCCACCTGCCCAACATGCTTTTGCAGGACACSACCCTGAGGACAGAAGCAGATGCTCAGCTGGTGGGTAATCTTGTGGAGCAGGCTGAAATACCTCTACCAAATATTCCTTTAAAGATGAGAAATCTGCCAAATGAGAGAGAATTTTATATTCCATCAGTTGATCTCCTCACTGCACAGGTAGAGTATTGGAATTCAGGTAGAGATCAAACAAATGCTTGTTGCRTTTCGGGTTTGATATGTAGTTACCTAGCCAGTCATGGAGTGTAGATAGCTTGAGCTTTAGCTGCTCTCTGCTTTGGGGATAATATATTGCATTTTACATAGCAGAAGTGTCCCTGAATCAGTGTTGGCAAATAACTGGCTGCTGTGCTGGGAATCTTCTGTCCTGCACAACCTCCCCTGAATTGCTGGGTTGGGTCTTTCTGTAACCCTTAWTGAGGGAATACTCTGCTTTTCACCCTTTATGGCCCAGCTTGTGTACTGTTTTTTGTAATGTAAATGGATCTGTAGCAAACTGCCCTCTGCCTGAAATCATGCCAAGGACCTTAAAAAATAGTCTAAGGTAACGGGATCTGTTGCATGAAGTACCAGATRGGTTTCCAGTTCAGGATATACTAATTAAGAACTGTGTGGGATTTCTTTCTGTAGGATTTGTTGTCATTTGAGTTACTGGATATTAATATTGTACAGGAATTGGAGCGAGTGCCACACAATACTCCAGTTGGTAAGCACTTTCTGATCCTTAGGGGTGCTGTCCTTACTATTTTGTTACTGCTTGTTCTGTGAAAATGTGAACTTATTGTACAAAAGGCTTATTTGGGCTTCAGGTTAGAACAAGTGCCCTCCCAATTTCCCATTTATCTTTCCATTTTAATCCTGGCTGCAGCCCCCCAAGGAGAAGTTTGGTGGGCCTTCATATTTTCAGAAGAGAATTTTTCCACATTCTCATCAAGATCATAAGATCCCAGATAATAAGTAATGCTGCTGTTTTCTTTGCTCAGCTAATGTAACGTAAAGCAAGCCATGCGTTTTGCCAAAAGTATCTTGTAAAGCAACTGTATTTCTTCTGCATTGGAGCAAATATTCCTTAGAAAAAAAAAGAAAAGTTCCTGAAAGATTCTCTCCTGGAAGAGAGAAGGAAGGTTCCTACTCCTTTAGTACCGAATATTTTTGCTGCCTTTGTTTTTCAGACATGACTCCATGCATGTCCCCTTTGCCGCATGATAACCCCTTGCTGGAGAAACCTGGCTTAGGTCAGATAGAGGAGGAGAATGAGGGGAGTGGATTTAAACCACTGCCAGGTAAGTAGTAATCAATAGGGAAAGAGGAGGAGGAGGATGTCATGGCTCTTGTGCAGTCACTGGATTTAGTATGATTTACTTGCCAAAAGAATTCCAATTCTTGTGGGGCAATTCTTTGATTTTGATTTCTGTCCCCTCCTCTGCCCTTCCTGGAAAAGCAAGTGGATTTTGTTTGACTCATTATGCAATCTCTAACGCTTTTTCTGTAGAAATTRAAGCCAAATACAAATAAGTTCAGAGGGAAAAAAAGCTTCTTTGCTGGAATTTTTGGAATAATTGACTGAAAACTTGTTCTTTGTACTTTGTACACAGGGTTATATTCAAATGCTCCAGCTCTGGCTTCCATATGTCTCAATACTTTTTATATTTACCTCCTCCTTAAAATTGAAAGGTTTCAAGTTAAGAAAGACTTGGAGTTGACCTTTTTATAGGAAAGGCAGGTTGAGGAAAATCTGTTATTTACATTGCCTTGTAGTGCCACTCTTCTGTCACACTTCTGTTTTCAAAGGGCTGACTGAAACCTGCTTTGCTGCTGATGCTTGCATGGTAAAAATGAGAGCTGAGCAGACGTTGAACCAGGAGGAAGGGGAAGAAGATATGAGTGGGACTCAATTTGTCTGCGAAACAGTCATTCGTTCTCTAACCCTCGATGCTGCACCTGACCATCAGCCCCCACAAAGGAAACCTGTGCAGAGTGGGTACTATTAGTTAGCCTCTGTGGCTTTATTTTACTCTCTTTCTGCTGCCAAACATTTGCTGCAAGTTGTCTTGCAGAGCAGATACTGATATTTTAATTGTGTGGGGTGTTTGTTTTGTTTCTTTTAGACTCTTTGCAAACACTAGACAATGCCTTCGGTTACAATGTGGTAAGTGAGGAATTTCCCAGGAGGAAAACTAACTACACTTCCAAAAAAGAAGTAAAAGAAGTGAAGATCCGCTACTTGGAGGCAATGAGAGAAAATGAGTGTGGTGAGTGAATTGGGTCAAGGTGCCTCTCTTCTTGAATGCAAGATAAAACTGTTAACAGACTGCAGAAAAATCAGATGCAAAAAGATCTCCGACACTGTTCTAGAAAATCCTCATTACTGTATCAGAAAATTGGTGTCGGTACTCTGAACTTGCAGCTATTCTAGCAGCTTTGTGTTGCATAGTGAAATTGAGACACAAGGGTGCTAGCGAGGTGTTCAGATAAGTGCTCATACCCTTAAGCATTGCTAGTTTCCCCTTGTTTTGGGCACGTTGCTTCAGAGTTCTCCTTACCATGAACTGCTCTTGATGTGTGGTATTCGAGTCATGAAGACCACTCTTTTCAGCTTCTCAGTATAGGGTGTATGCTGCATAAATTTAATAGGAAGATTTATTCCTTTTTCCATCCCTGACTTGTTCCTCGAAAATTATACAACTAATGCCAGCAGCAAGGGCTTACAGTTGCTTACAGTAACTTTTCTTTTTTATCCTGGAGTATACAGTCTTTGTTACATGAAAATAATTTGGTCTTTTTATAATATTTAACCTTTTTTTTCTCTTAAGAGGAACTCCCATTGTCTGGGAAGAAAGCAAACACCTGTAGTGATACTGGCAATTTTGATGATGATGATGCTACAGATGATGTTCAGAGTCAAGGCTCTTCAGTTTCATCAGAGGATTATATCATTATTCTCCCGGAGTGTTTTGACACCAGCCGTCCATTAGGAGAGTCCATGTATAGCTCTGCTCTTTCTCAGCCCAGTTTGGAAAAAGCAGGAGAACCTGAAACACAAGCAGAGAATCCMAAAGGTGGAAGCCAACCACAGATTCCCAGTATCAGTGATGCTTCAACAGCTTCACCAACACTGGCTGAAGTACCTCCAGAGAGGATGGGCACCGTACAGCAGACACACATGTATGTATTTTAGTCTCTGAATAAAATGATTATATTAGAGTATATTTTTGTTTTTGTTGCAAAAACAGTATTGTGCATATTAGAGTGAATACCCTAAATCCTGGAGCTTCTTAAAAGCTTGTACTTGCGGATTATCTGAACCTAAAGGAGGGAATCTTACAGATCATGACTTTACGCAAGTACTTTCCCTACTTTTGTTCTAAGCATACCTAATTTTTGTGCTTCGTTTTCTCAGGAATCTTGCTTCTCTTCAGAATCATGACTTCCAAGAACCAAACATATCGGCTTCAGAGGATGTCTCTTCCACTCCCCTTGATCAAATAAGAGAAGGTATTAATGGTGCTCGACAGCTGCATGTTTGTGCCTGTTTCTTGCATCYAGTTGTGAGCATGATATTCAAATCTTGGGGAAAGCAGAAACCTAACCAAGTGTCAATGCTGAGGTTTTCTCTAGGCATTAAAGTTAGTAAAATTTTGCCCAGAGACCTTTGCAGACATTTGGGAAGTTGTGTTTGAGAGGAAGGTGACTAAAGGATCTCATGAGCATGTATTTAAACTGCTATTACAGTCATTGGGAGCTCAGACAGTAGTTTGTCCCCTGTTAAAGTAAACACCTATTGACTAGTTGACCAAAGTGTTTCTGGGGTTCTTTTGACTCAAATTCTTTTGCAGTGAGAATCCTGGACATCAAGTCTGCTTGTAGATAACTGAATTTGAAAGTATTAATTGTAGACYGAATCTGCTCATTTCCATCTTATATATAAATCTATACATTGCTTCTTCAGTTTATTAACTGTACGTGTTGGTATAATTTGATTCTCTTCTAGAGCCTAGAGGTGAAGACAGTCATGGATCTTCTGGATCTGGATTTGGATCTGGATCTTCTGAATTTAGAACTAGTAAACCAAAGTGCTCAGAATATTCAAGGTAATAAAACAACAGCTGTTTTCACAACTCCAGTTCATTCTGTGGCTCCTGTTTTAAGACAAGAACTGTGTAATTAACACAAGCATGTAGCAAAAAGCACTAATTTAGAGATCTTGCATAGCTGGTATATTTGGAGAAAGTGTGTCCCCTTTTTCCCCTTCCCCCTACCCTTTCCTTTTTCTTTTTTTAGCTGATATTATTTAAGACTATTCTCAGAAGATGTCACTTTCTACTCAAACACAAATGGGAAGTATTGAGAATTGGTGAGCAAAAGCATATTAAGATGAGTTTCAGGTGAAAAGATGAATCCCAAAATTCTGWGTTGTCATCCCCCATACCCTTTCTTTCCCCTTGAGTCTCAGGATTCCTAAGATATGGATGTGGTAAGATGTCCTACAATATTATAGTACTGGGGCTGAAGGAATAAAGCAGACAAAACAGAGCAGAATATTGAAGAGGCTTAGAGTCCTGACAGAATTCACTCTGATCTGACTTTGCTGCCTGTAAGTTAATACTGAACTTCTCTGCAGACACCCCCAAGGAAGCAGCATTGCAGAGGGCCTGGTTAAAGGAGCTTTGTCAGTTGCTGCCTCTGCCTACAAAGCCCTGTTTGCTGGGCCACCCATTACAGAACAGGTAAATCTGAGATCTATAAATGGTGACCTTTAAATTACAGGTGCATACTTCATAAATTGTTTTTAATTCTTCACTGTATAGTACTACTTGATGTAGTCCATGAGTTGGAATGAGCAAAGACTGAGCTTCTCTAGCCTTGAGTAGTACTAGATCTCATAAAGTTTATTTGGAACACTATTTTTAATCCTCCTTCAATATGTTGACTGTCTTTACAGGCCGCCGCACTCCACTGAATTCCCTGTGGCTATTTGGAAACTTAAAATTGGGTGGTGTGTGGCAGTGCTTTTGTTTATTCGGCTATTTATCAGGCTGCAGGAGTATTGCAGCTAAAACTAAATAAACACTCATTTTTAGAAGATTGTTCATAGGCCAAAACCTGTTTACAAGGCTTAGCTACTGTAACTGTATCTGATAGTGTCATTTGCCGTACTCCCACCTACTTTGCAAAACTGAATGTTTTTTCAGAAGAATAAATGAGTTGCAGGTTTTAAAGTCATGTACAAAGATTATCCTGTGACACTCTAAGGTCTTTGTAGTGTAGTCTAACCTATAGTATGCATTCGGAGAGACACTTGCCAACAGTTCTGAATTCCTTTTTGTTTTAAGCAGCCTACAGTTACAGAGGAGCACACTGCCACTCTTCTATCCAGTCTGTGTGAGATGGGATTCTGTGACAGGCAGTTAAACCTGCAGCTGCTGAAGAAACACAACAACAACATGGTTGAAGTGGTAACTGAATTGCTGCAGATCAATAACAGTGACTGGTACAGTGATAGATGCTGAATTTTCCTGTTGGAGGGAAGAGTCACCTTCATTGAGAAGACTCATTAAACACTGCAACTGCAGCAGGCTGCTCCTCAGCTTCTTTCTGTTCTGGGATGTGGCTAAAAGTTTGGGGTTCTTTAATGAACTTTTGATTTTTTTTTTCCTCTTCTCTTTTTTTCCTCTAAAATGGCAATGTCAAATGCAGTACTTGTCACAGATTTTATCAATTGGAGACCAGATTGTCAACTAGGACTTCATAAATGAGTAGCCTTTAAGTCTCTGATACTGAATTCCTTTTATCTGGGAATGCTGCAGAATAACTTAAATTTCCAGTCAAGTGAGTCCTTACCCTTTTATTGAGCGTGAAGTTATATATTTTTAAGGCAGCTGGAATCTCTTGTTGATTGTTAACAAGCTTTGGAAGAGGAACCAATGCCAAATGCTGCTGTAAAATGTAGACTTGCCTAACATGCAAGAGATGCCTGCAGCTAGCAAGTTGCTTCTGATATGATTTAGTAGCAGACTTTTGTGTAATATGATAGTAATATAACATTTAAACCCTATACAACCCTTTAGAAGAAAAAGGTTGCTCATGTATTAAGCCATCGTAGACCATGAAACAAGTCTGAAAGTGTAACTGCTTTCAACTCAATTTGTGTTAGGATTGTCATTGTTTCATGTAGTAGAATGAAGCATGAGGAAGATTTTACCAGCAGCTATTGAACCATCTCTAATAATAATAGTAATATATCTCTAACAAAACATAGCATATATAAAATATTTTGTTAAAGTGTAATCGTAGAAAAKGCCTTTCTAAGAATCTTTAGAGACTGTTTGTAAAAAGGTTTAAAGAAAAAGACAACTTTGACCTCTCTATTTTTTTCTAACAGTGTAGTGCTTCTATTCTGTTGATACTACATAGAATTGAAGAATGTGTAAAAAGCCAGATTTGACTTGGAGTGTGAATTTTAGTAATGTTTGAGAATGCAGAGAGTGCCTGAGGGTWGGGGTTGAGTGACTCCTGGTTTATTTTGAGAGTAAGTTTGAGAATATTAAGTGTAGTTTCCCTTGACGGTTCTAACCAGCTGCATATTACCACTGACACATCCGTAGAATCGGTCTATCACAAGACTTTGCTTTAGATGTCCATATTTATTTTGAAAATCTGAGAATGCCCTTTTTAAACCTACCAAGAAGAGATTTAACTCTGAAGAATCACAAGAAACCAGCATCATCCGCTGCTGTGCAGTGGTGTGTCGATAGAGAACTGCTTAGAAGCCAGTCCTCTGGAAGCAACAGCACTGTTGGCTACGTTCTTGCTTTCAGGTGGATTTTTTTTTCCTTGCTGCAATAAGAGACCATTGATTTTAAATTTTATATTACTGTGGCTTCTAAAGCTTTTTTTCCTGTTGTGACAGAATGTAGCTGAAACAGTATTAATATTGAGACTGACCCAGTAATCATTAGTAGTAAATTTCTTAAAGTCTTAATACCCTTATCTAAGATACCCTAAAAGTGATTGAAGAGAAATGTATCATACAATTTTGTTTTAAACCTATTTTTATAGAYGGTGGAGAATAAAATATTCTTAAATGCTTATTTTGAAATAAAAGGGGACTATTTTGCAGTGTTTCCCAACCATCTCTACTCCAGTATAACTCTGTCTACTGCGGACCACAAAGATGTTTCTCTAACTTGAATCTGTTTTTCTGCATGTTGTCCCGACTCCCTTTTGGCTTCTGCTCCCTCCAGAACAAGGAGGGAAGGGCATGAACAAAACAGGGTGCTGAGCTAAGCGGGCTCGGCTGCTTTTGATCAGGGCTTCTCAGCAGGACACGTGCTCTTTCTGAGTGTATCTTCATACTTTCAGGAATTTTAATGTTTTGTGTAAATTAAAACACTAAAACGATTTGAGGAAAAACACTTTGTTGCAGATGGAAATGTGATGTGTGAAATGCTCTCTTTAATTTTTTTTCCCTGACCTTGATGCTTTATTTCCTCTTTAGGTTGTAGATGATGTACGCTCAGGCTTAASCTGTATTTCTGTTGGCTTTGTATATTTTGTTAATGAATGCATGGTATAATTTATAATATATTCTAGACTGTGGCTTTGGCCTCTGTTATCTTATTTGGCATGAGYGCTTCGAAAGGCAGGGAGGTGGTGGAGGGAGGATGAGCTGCACCTGGCTCCATGTGGGAGAGCTGCTCGGAGGCCAGGGCYTCACGGGGCTCCCGGAGGCCGGGCCAGGGCCTAGGCCCGCCCCGGGGCTGGGCTGGAGGCCGGGCTGCTGGAGGCCGGGCCTCCGTGGCCCTTGGAGCTTTCGGTTCCGCTTTGGCCAGGTGGGTGAGCAGAGACTGAGGGGCCCCAGGGTGGGTGAGCGAGGCCGGGAGGGGAGACTGTGGCAGGGACCGCCCGGCCACGGGGGGCAGCAGGAAGGGCCTGGCCCCTGGAAAGGGCCCGGCCGCTGCCTCCCTYGTGGCCTCCTTGTGTGGCGCGGGAAGGCGGAAGCCTCCCGAGGGCAGCGGGYGCAGGGGTTCAGCGCCACGCGCGGCACCTCGCGCCACCCGACCGCGACCGCTCTCGGAGCTTCCATGGTCATTTGTGCCCGTGCTGTGGAGGGACCAGCACCTCCTCCTCACGGCTTCTTGTTGAAGAGCTGGTGAAGATTAACCAAGGGTATGGGAAAAGCTTGGAGCTTCCACGCTTGGGAAGCGCCCAGGCTGTGGAAATGGGTCCTTCCCTTGACAGCTGAACGGCTAAAATCCTTCAGGTATCTCTTTCGCTATCCTCTTGCAGCATCTGAAGGAGAAGACTGCGTCGCCTCGAGGCTCCAAGCAGTGTCTGCAGAATCTAATCAAGGTTACCGGGCAGCTGGGGAGTTTCTCTGGCCTTTCAGGGCTAAATAGGCCGTGTTGCGGCCCTTTCCTTCCTCCTGCTGCCCTCGTCAGCAACAGGAACAGCAGCAGTTGTTGGAGCCGGCTCATCTGCTCGCGTTGCCAGATGCACTCAGGTTTGTGCACTGAGGATGGACACTTGGGGCATGTTCTGCTCTCTCAGATGGTGCCTTCCTCCTCCCTGGTGTTTARCAGAGGGGGAAAAAAAGAGCCCTGCAGGTTCTTTCAGCCTTTGGATCATCTGGGCCAATGTACAACTGTTGTTTACCTAGGCTAAATGTGATACCTTCAAGTCATTAAAACACTGGGCTGGCAGAGATAGGAAGCTGTACTGAGCTATCTGTGTGAGCAAAATACAGCTTATCTTTCYGTGCTTGGTGTTGCTAATGCTTTGGGGAGGATTGCCAGGAGCTGACATGAAAGTTTCTGATTGCCAGAAGCCTGGGAAAAGTAGTTAAACTGTTACTTTGGTGTATAAAAACAGCAAATGGGGCAATGATTTTATTTATAAATCAGACTAGTGTTATTAACAGTTTGATAGGGAATACTGAGCCTTTAGTGTTCAGGTGAGTTACCTATTGGATGTAGATGAGCAATGACCATGCAAGAGCTCTGAAGTTCTGCTTCGGGGATGTGTTGTCATCTCAAAATGCTCCAGTGCTTTGAATCAGCATTCCTTCGCTCTTATAAAGCACACTGTGAGATGAAGAACCTCGTGTGTTATAGGGTGGTGGCATTGGACTTTTTCCTGCAGCTAGAGTGGCCAGGGACTTCTATGTCTAAAAGTATGAGCTACAAAATGGGTCTTTAAAAGCACTTTCAGAGCCATGCTGCAAGAAATTTGCCAGYTTAGATACTTGTGATCTATTCCACACACTAAATAGCACTGGAGGTTGGTTAATAAAGACAATTTCCCTAAAGCATTTTTGTGTTGGATACTAGCGAGACATCTTCCTTCAACTATGGCAGCAAAACTTTCACAGTTCTGGAAAGCATCTGCCCGAAAGGAGGGTGAGGGCAAGCTGATCTTACCCAGACCAAAGGGTGCTGAAGGCGAAATTGCTGGCTATGCTAGCATCAACGGAGAAGACCCTGCTCTGCCCTGTGTGGGTACTGGAAGTCGAAGCTGTGTCAACTGCCCAACGTGCCAGGGAACTGGGAGGATCCCCAGGGGTAGGTGGTTTCTCTGTGTGCCGTGTCTGTGCTTTTTACGTCTCCGGAGGTTGGCCGTGGTTCAATCAGCTGCYCTTTGCTGCGTCCTCCCTGTTTTAGCAGCTCAGGCTCCTCAGTGCTGTCTGTGGGCAGCCTTTCTTAGGGAAGAAGAGAGTGGCAGGCAAATGCTGAGAGAATTAATCAAATTCTACCGTGGCATACCTGGGGCATGGCTCTTTCTGCACAGAGCTGGGAATGTTGCATCACGCTCACCTTCTAAATTGAACACTGTCACCAGAAATGTGACTATAGATTGACACTAAGCTGCCRTGCAATTCTCCACAATGCAATGTGGTTTATTTGCTTGGACCCTCGGTGCAGTCTCTTACCTGCTGCTCCCTCTTGCAGAGCAAGAGAAGCAGCTGGTGGCCCTGATTCCATATGGTGACCAGAGGCTGAAGCCTAGACGAACGTAAGTCCTATCAAATTCTGCCCTTTTCTCATCTTTGGAATTGTTTCATCTGTGTGTGAAGGGAGACCTTGGTCCCGTGGGAATAAACCTGCCTGCAGCTGTTCTTTGGAGGGTGTTTGCACTGCATTTTGCAGCAAGTCCAGTGTTCGCAGTGCCTGTTCCACGTGAGCAGATAGCTGGACAATCCTCAGCGCGGGAGGAAATGTGGAGTTAGGGGAGATCTCTAAATTCCTACCTGCTTCCACAGTGACAGGCAGTGTGTCGTGGGGTGGGAGCACCCTCCTGCTTCTCCCATCGCTTGGGACKTCTGCACAAACTCACCTCAGCTTTCGGCCTCCAAGGTCCTGTTACCTCCTCCACTGAGATGGAGCTTCAGGCGCCTGCAGCTGATGAGCCAGGAGAACAACGTGGTCATGGTGCTGTCTTGCAGGAAACTCTATGTGTGTCTTGCTGTGACGATCTGCCTGCTGACGACATCTCTCAGCGTCTTCTTCCTCTTTCCTCGCTCCATCACCGTGCTGCCCGCTGGATTGAATGCCTCCTCCATTGGCTTTAACGCCGCCACCACCAGTATTTCTCTCAACATGACTGTGAGTTCTCAGCCCAGAGTCAAGCACTGGGCGAAAGGTCTCTCCTTATTGTCCTCTAGGCTGCTCTAGGTGGAATAACTGATTGCTGGCTCTAGCTCAAATCTGGTTGTTATTGTCAGGACTGGAAGGGGACACGTGGTCTAGTGCTGTTCTAAGGTTATAACAAGGATATATTTAAAGTAGTTTTGCTACCGTAACATATGGCTCTGCTGCAAGGTAGTTTTTCTTGTTTCTTTCCCCAGAATGTACTGAACATAACTAATAACAACTTCTACCCAGTCACTGTTGTGCAGCTGGACATAGAAGTTTTACACCAGACCCTGGTAATAGGGAAGACTACCATGAAAACCTTGCTGAATATCAGCCCTTTGCAGAGTAGCCAGGTGAGCTTTGCTGGCTCTTGCCAGTRCTACCCCCTGTGAAGAACAATTGCTAGGCTAAAACCTGAAATTCAGGTTCTGAATTTCAGGCAACTAATGAAAGTCCAACTCTCCCTACTTCAGCTCTCTGGGCTGTATCCAAACCTAACTAATTCTTGTGTGTTTTCTTCTTTTCCTTCTGTTCACATTGCAGATCTATTATATGGTGGCCAGTAGGCTGCTGGACAACAATACCTAGTGAGTAATTCTTGAACATTTCTTTATTTGGTTAGTCAGTGATATTAATCCTTAAAGACTTTCTAAAGCTAGGCTTGTGCTGTTCATATCTCTTCAGTGAAACTCACTGTGACTTTTTGAATATGTGTGCAGCTGACCCAGACACCAATCTGGTACATGCACCTTCATTTCATTTCTTATCTGCTGGTGTTTATTGCCTGCTGCTGAGTCAACAGTGTCATTTTCCTGTATTCTGACAAGCGGTGGTATCCGTTTCATGTCTAGCATCTTTGATGTTCCATTTGTGAGCAGCTGAATGCATCATGTGCCATGCAGAAGCTCTGCAAAGTAGATAGCAGTCACAGCTTCGGTGCAGGGAGGCTGTATGCACCGCATACTTGGTAGAACCCATGATTACTGCATCCAAAGTGACCGAGTTACACCAGCAAAAAATGGATCTGTGCTTCAAGGCCTTTGCCTGCAGAGCTGTTGTCAGAATCTTCTAAGGACAGAGCTTTTCAGAAAAGCAGAGAGACAATGGAGCAATTGAGGACTGGGAGACTCACGGGACAGGCCACTCCTGTGAAATCAGCGCTCTCTTTTTCTCTTGTAGTAACATCTGCACCTGGACAAAAATCAAAGTCCACAATGTTCTGCTGCATATACAGTAAGTACACTTACTGTAATAATTAATACAACCTGGGCTCTTTCTGAGCTCCGAGGGAGGTCAGGCAGTCCCTGTTCTTGGAGACAGAGCTGGCTGCAGTGTGTCTGTGGTATCTATTACCTATATAGATTTGCTGAAGTGTAATTCTCCAAGGCCACTGGTGCTAGAAGTCCCCTGGATTTAGCCTTACCTGCAGCACAAGCTGTTGCTGCCGTTGGCCTGCTAAAGCTCTTCCCTAAGGCTCTTTGTTGCTGTTGAGAAGAAGCTATTTGACCTGGAGGGGGAAGCAGGGCAGAGCAAAGCAGGTTTTTCTCTGGAAAGGAGAAAAGCCCAAAGGAACCCCTCCTGGGACCAGCTGCTGCTGTCCTGGCCTGTGTTAGAGCTCAGTGGAGTGGGAGTCCTGAGAAAAGAGTGGTGGTCTTCGTTAGCTAAGCCAAGCTGCTTTGGAAAGCTCTGGGCTAGAATTATTTCTTGGGGCAACCTGTGCCCGCTCCTGGGCAAATAGGGGCAAAACAGGACGGGATGGCAGCAGAAGCACACAGCAGGAGCTGTGTTATTATGGGATATTATGGGAATTTTATATGGGAATATATGGGAATATATTATGGGAATATTTGTCCGGCACAGTCACGACTGCAGCTCCTGTGTATRTTCGCCTTGCAGGGGCACTCTGACCTGCACGTACTTGTGCCACTCGGAGCAGCTGGCTTTTGAAAACTACCAGTACGTGGACTGCCGTGGGAATGCCACCCTACCGCACCTACTGCAGCGCCTGCTGCTGTGACCAGCCGGGCTGGCAGAGCCCTCAGGAGCCTCACAAGGGCAGCTCGCAGGCAGACCACGCTCTGGGGCTTCTTTTCAGTTCACGACATACGCAGGAGACTTCGTGCCTTCCTGGGATGAGGCCTTGTCTCCTGTGCAGAGATGCTCGGCTCTATGAACGTGGAATAGACTGCCCTCGGCCTTGCAGCTTCCCTTCGTGCCTCGGTGTGGCTGCCTGCCCCTGCAGCAGTGACCAGTGCCTGGATGTCTGTGCTGGCCCATCAGAACAGGCTGCGCTCCTCCTGATTCACCGCTGCGCTTGGAGCCAGTGCCCCGTTAATCAAACTTACTCCAGTTGTTTCCTCCTTGTGTAACTTTGTACTTCTATTCTGAATACAAGTGTCTCGCAGCTTGCAGAAGGAGGACTGTGGTGAGACTCTCTGGCAGGGTTGCATCCCTGTCACCAGTGTCCAGCGCTGTTTGCACAGCCTGCTCTGTGAGCCCAGGAAACAGGACTGATGTCTCTCTGTCACTGGCTCTTAAATCATCAACTGCATGTCATGCTAAAACACCTCTGAGTGTGACTCTTGGGTGGCCGTTCTGTTGAGCAGTCTGGTGTAGGAACAAGAATGCACTGTCTTGATTTTAAATATGTATTTTTAAGAGCAGCTCATTTACTGGCTGTTTTGTGAGAGATTTTGGAGTTTTTCTTTTGTTGATGTTTTTGGTTTGGTTTGGTTTTTGGTCTAAAGCTGTAAAGCAACCGCATAACCCAATGAACTTCATGGGAGTAATAGCCCAGGCAGCCTTCCCCCCTCCCAGGGTCAGGCATGTGGCAGTTGTATCCCTCACATGATAGATGGGTGGCCCGTGCCTGGGGTTCCAGTCTAGCTAGTGCTGATGCCTTCTGGCTGCTGAGCCTGGGAGTAACAGGGCTGAACTTCCTTATTCAAAAGCGGTTCAGCATTTTCCTGTACCRATTCTCTCCTTTGGGGGAATCATATGTTAGAATAGTTGAAACTATTTTGGACCCTTACTCAAAAACATGCTTCCCAACCCAGCACTTCTTATAGAGCTGTAGCAGGGTGTTTCTTATCACTGTATCATCTGTTGAGATTGTCCTGAACTGGTAACCAGTCAGGCAATGCCCTCCAACAGGGCTGAGGAAGCTCCACGTGCCATGCTGGAGTTGTCACGAGTGTGCATTAGGTTTTGTATTGCTGTATTGTTGCTTCTACCACACGCTCCCAACCTCTGCTGTTGAGTTTCCAGCTGTGCTGCTCCAGCACTGTTATGTACTTCTAACACTGTTATGTTATGTGCTGTTATGTACTTGCACCATCTCCCTCTGTTCACAAATAAAAGACACTATGCAGCCAGAAAGGAATGTCTGTCTCTGCACGGCTGCTGTACAGCTCCAGGGATATGAAGTGTCAAATAAATTGCTTTACCTGGACATGAAGGGAGAGGGGAGGCTTTGCTGCAGCAGGATGGCAGTTCTTGGCACATACTTGACGAGGGACAGGACRTAATGGAACCAGAGCAAGCAAGGCTTGGGGAAGACACCTGCTGCTTGAGAGAGACTTTGCTGGGACAGTGTGGTATTTATTTATCCCTAGCTGTTACCAGCTAAGTTGGTGAAGTCGGCCRCTGATCTTGAGTACACACGGCGCTGGATTCACGGTGCTTGCCTGCTGTGTGCCCTTACCACTGCTGCATGTATTGCACGGCCTGAAAGCACAAAGAGATGTTACTRTTGGCTTTGCTCTATAAAAAAGCAAAAACAAAAACACACTTCTATGATTCAACGTGTGAAAGATTTCAAAGTCAACTATTTTCTCATGATTCAAATTGAATTTCAAGGGGGAGTGACTTAAATGTGCCACTTAAAGCCCAATCCACGCCAGCAGATCTCTGCTTAGAGCTGTATGGAGTGGCGCCAGCTCAGTTTTTATGACCTGCTGCACAAAAGCAAGGCGGGTTTAGTTACAGGCAGCTGCTAGAGCTGGCGCAGAGGGATGGCTGAGCCCCCCGAGGCCCGTGTGCCCCTCTCGCAGGAAGGGGCACCTGCCTCGCGCCCAAACGCTTCAGTGCCGGGCCGGGGCGCGCGCTCCCTCCTGCCGTGCACTTACCGAGAAGCGGAGCGGCAGCTTCGCGCTGGCTGCCGCGGGCTGAGGGCCGCGGCGGCGGCGGGACGGCGGCGGCGCCTGGGCGGCAGCGCCCGGCCCGCGCTCGCGGCGCCGCCATGGGGCGTCCTCGGCCTGCGGGGCGCCGGGAGGGCGGTGAGGACAGAGCGAGCCGCCGGTGCCGAACGGACCCGCCGTCGGTACCGGTACCGCACGGACCCGCCGGGCCTGGCGGCGCCGCTCCAGCGCCGCCTGCCTGCGCCGCGCCTCCCAGTGCAGGGCCGACATGGGGCTGCGCCTGGCAACGGGCGCCTGGCAACGGGCGCCTGGCAACGGGCGCCTGGCAGCGGGCGCCTGGCAGCGGGCGCCTGGCAACGGGCACCTGGCAACGGGCGCCTGGCAACGGGCGCCTGGCAACGGGCGCCTGGCAACGGGCGCGTGACGCTAGCCCTGCGTCACCAACGGCCGCCCCTGCGGATTGGCACCCGCCGCGTGACGTAAGGGGAAGGCGGGGCCTGAGGCGCGCGCGAAATCCCGGATCACGTAGTGCCGCGATGGGGATTAGATAACTTAATTATTATTGTACTTAATGATCACGGTAGCGATGTCATTAATGATAAAGGAGCTGAGATTTAACMTGGCTGCTAAGCAGTTTGTGACAGGGCTGGATGTGGTAAAAGGCGATCCCTGTAGGGAGGTGTTTCCCCCCGAGAAGATGACGTCACGCGCGGGCCCTTTCCCGCCCTTGGGCTCCCTCGCCCGCCACAACCACAAAGTTGCAGCYTGTCCCCCGTTCTAGTGCGGCCGCTCGTCTCTATGGTCAACGCACGTGACCGGCCGCGGCTTCCGCCGGATGCGGAAGTGGTGCCGCGAGGGGGAGGAGGCGCCATGGCGGACGCGGTGGCGCTGGAGGAGCTCGCCAAGCTCGAGTACCTGTCGCTGGTCTCCAAGGTGTGCACGGAGCTGGACAACCACCTCGGCATCAACGACAAGGACCTGGGTGAGCACCGTGCGGCCGCGCTCCGCGAGCGGCGCTTCCCCCCATCCGTGTCCCGCTTTGACGCTGCTCCGGAGGGCGCCTCGAGCAGCGCCGCGGCCTTGGTGCGGGCTCGGGCCGCCCCCAGCTGCTCCCCCTGCCCTTCCTTATCCTCCCCTCCCTCCTTCTCTTCACAGCCGAGTTCGTGATAAACCTTGCAGAGAAAAACACTACGTTTGACACGTTTAAAGCTGTTCTTGTGAAGAATGGCGCCGAGTTCACTGTAAGTGGAATCTTAACGTCGTTTGTRTGTTTTTGTCCAGGATTGCTTTATAGAGCCTGTTTTCAAAGAAAAGAGTGAGGCCCTGTTCTTTATTGTATGAGGAGAGACTGAGCGAGTTGGGCCTGTTCAGCTTGGAGAAGAGAAGGCTGAGAGGGATCTGATTAACAGGGATAAGTTCATGAAGGGGGAGTTAGGGAGGAAGGGGCCAAGCTCTTCTGTTGGTGGCCAGTGACAGGACAAGGACCAGGGGTGCGAGCTGCAACCCAGGCGGTTCCATCTCCATATGAGGAGGAGGCCTCCAGAACCCGCCTGGATGCCACCCTGTGCTCTGGGTGTCCCTGCTGGAGCAGGAAGGTTGGACTRGATGATCTCTAGAGGTCCCTTCCAACCTGGAACAGTCTGTCTGATTGTGTGTGTGATATCGGCCCCAGGTACAGGAGTTCCTCAGCAGTTACTGTAGTTGGGCTAACTAGCTGATTACCAACGTGATGGGTGGAAAAATCAGTTCAATGGGATTATCAGCACTTTTGGGTTCAAGCTGTTTAATTTGTTTTAGACTTACGTAGAGGAAAAGCCTTAATCTCCACAACTGAGCTATTTTTGCTCTCTGAATAAATACTCTCTTGAGTCATGTATTAATAAATGTGTTGAAGTCGCTTTTTAGAATAAAATATTTTACTGATTTTTTTTTTTTTCAGGATTCCCTTGTTAGTAATTTGCTACGTCTCATCCAAACAATGCGGCCTCCATCAAAGCCATCTACTAGCAAAGGTTTGAATAACCTCCTCCTCATCAGTTCTGTAGGGGAAAAAAAACCAACAGCTTTTTTCTTTTCCTAATACTTAGTTAGATCAAAATAGTCATGTCCTCATCCCGTAAGACAGTGCATAATATCCTGTTGTTTTAATGGATTTCTGGCTGTTATTAGTGATGGGCTTGCAAAGCTATTGAGAAACTGAAARCATGTTGAGTGCAGTATTTAGAGCATTAGTGATTTTCACACATTCACTGTAAATGGCAATTTTATTTGTAGGAGGATAACATTGTAATTTTTGAAGTTAATCTCTATGACATCTCTGTTAATCTTTACGTTCAGATCAAAATTAAATCTCATATTCAATGTCAGGAATGCCAAGGGCAAATCATTAGAGCACTTCTAATGGTTTTATTTGTTTGTTTTTTAACCTCAAATTCAGAGGCAGTTGTCAAGCCCAAATCGGAGAAAGAAAAGTTGAAGGAATTGTTTCCAGCTCTTTGCAGGCCAGACAATCCCAACGTCAGGGTAAGATGATAATTTCAGATGCCTGTCATATATGTGGAAACAAAATCCTTTCTGCATATTTCTCTTAGCCTCGAGTTGTTTTTATGTTAGCATTTGTGTCTTCTGTATGGATAAAAATGGACTATGAGGAGTGAAAGGCAGAAGGAGGCCTGAAGGAGGCAGAAGGACGATATTATTGGATGCAGTTATCAGGAATTGCTGTTGCAGGAGTTTCAGCATGGATACTGTTTTGCAGGAGATATGAAAAGAAACTCTTCTAGTGTATATTTTATAGTCTGACCTTTTTCAGCTGGTCCTGAACTAGATGAAAATCTTGAATGTTGAAATGCTACTAGGAAGTTGTTTTATCTTCCTTTATCTTCCTTTATCTTCCTCTTTTTTTTTCTTTTTTTAACAATATCTTTTTTCCTTCCACAACACCTATTCTGTCTGTATTAATTCTAAACAGAAATACACTTGATTAATCTCTGCGTAGGTTAGTTCTTTGTGATTGACTTCTTTCAGTTGTGCTCAACGTTTCCTGTCCTTGCAGCATATGCTGGATGAAGACGATGTGAAAGTAGCAGCTGATGCACTTAAAGAGCTTGAAGCTCTAATGCCTAGTGCTGACAGACAAGGCAAGCAAAGGAACAGTGACCACCGGTAGGTTTCTAGGGAACRGGGACTGGCAGTTCATGTTGTCCATTCGTTGTGTTCTTAGGTTTCAGAGTTGATTTCTAATGTTGGCTTGACAGGGCAAAGAAAAGGAGGAAGAGCCGAAGCCGCAGCAGGGACAGGAAGCGAAGGCACAGATCTCGTTCAAGGTCTCGTTCCAGGACTTGGGAGAAGAACAGGGGAAAATCCAGATATCGCTCAAGAAGCAGGAGTCGGAGTCCCAGCAGGGACCATAGGGATCGAGAGAAATACATCGAGAAGAGCAGTGATAGATGGAGAGACAAGCACATAGACCGTCCACCGCCTGAAGAGCCATCCATTGGTGACATTTACAATGGCAAAGTGACAAGCATAATGCAGTTTGGATGCTTTGTGCAGCTCGAAGGATTAAGGTACTTCCTGATCTTCACAGTAGTTATGGGACTGTTCCATCTGTCTTCTGGTCTCTGATCATATGTTAAAAAGTGTARGATGCCACGATAAAGTAAGCGGAGTTTTGATTGCCAAAATGAAGTTCTGCTTCACAGAAATAAATTTGATAGCGGCTAATGCTTTCCTCACAAAAAAAGAAACTTTTATAAACCCATATGAAAGTTAGTTGAGATACTTTAAAACAGCCTCTGAATGAGTTGAAGACTGTTTGAGTAATAATGTGTGTCATCTCTTGGCCCCCTTTCCCTCATAGGAAGCGCTGGGAGGGCTTGGTCCACATCTCTGAGCTTCGAAGAGAAGGACGGGTTGCCAATGTTGCTGATGTTGTGAGCAAAGGACAAAGAGTAAAAGTCAAAGTGTTGTCTTTTACTGGATCCAAAACCAGCCTGAGCATGAAGGTAGGAAAGATACTCTGTATTAGAATAGAGTTGAAGTGATTGGGGGGAAAAATTATATGCACACATTTGTAAAAGTAAAATGTATACAATATTTTCTAATATTTCCTGTATATGCATTGTGTGGCCTCTTGGAAAAATGGACTCTGCTTTTACTCTTATGTTAGGGGAAGTACCAGCCATGGTTATTAGATAAAGATATGTACAATATAGGTAGAAGTGACCTATTAATCACTCTAATGTAGGATGTTGATCAAGACACTGGGGAAGACTTGAATCCGAACCGGAGGAGAAACCTGGTTGGAGAAACCAATGAAGAAACCTCTATGAGGAACCCGGACAGACCCAGTCACCTTTCTCTGGTAAATGCTCCAGAAGTGGAGGATGATACCCTTGAAAGGAAACGCCTCACTCGAATTTCAGACCCAGAGAAATGGGAAATAAAACAGGTATGTTTTGTACTGAGTAATACAGAGTGCCAGTCAGTATACTTGCCATGGAGTTTCATAAAACCAAGCTACAGCTGTTTATTTTTTTAAAAGCTAATTAATAAATTCCTGTTCTTTCATTCCTTCCCCAGATGATTGCAGCTAATGTGCTTTCCAAAGAAGAGTTTCCTGACTTCGATGAGGAAACTGGGATCCTTCCTAAAGTTGATGATGAAGAAGGTAGTATTTCCAAGTAGTGTTTCTCTTGTGTAAATTTCTTCTGTTTCTGGATATGTTTTGATTCAGAAACAGATGATATAAGTGGATGTGAGACTTTTAAATATTTGTAACAAGGGTTACTGCAGCTGCTGTATTATTAATGACACTTGGATGTGCATTAGACTGACTGCATTCTTTTTATTTGTGGTGTTTAGACTTTAGAAAATTGTCTAATTACATCATAATCCAGAATGCACAGTAGGTAGCATTTTAATAGGTACTCTTACGGTCATGTAGCTGAAAGCAGGTTTTTAACTTTTCAGTAAAACTGTAATTTGTGGATTTTAGATGAGGACCTTGAGATTGAGCTGGTTGAAGAAGAGCCACCATTCCTTCGAGGTCATACCAAGCAAAGCATGGATATGAGTCCCATCAAAATAGTAAAGGTAAGAGATGTTAAAGGTCAAAAACTACCTAATTTAATTAAATATTTAGGAATTTCATAGCCAAGATTTAGAATGTCTTAGAGCCCTGACAAACATTACCACTAAATTGAAGTTGCTTTCTTAGGATTGAGCAGTGCTGGAAAGCCTAACTCTTTTCTTGTTCTTCAGAATCCAGATGGATCCTTGTCCCAGGCTGCAATGATGCAGAGTGCATTAGCTAAAGAAAGACGGGAACTTAAACAAGCCCAAAGAGAGGCAGAGATGGATTCCATCCCAATGGGACTCAACACGCACTGGGTGGATCCTCTTCCTGATGGTATGTCTGGACATGTTTGGGTGTGAACTGTGCCTTTTTTTGTGAAAGTTGAGCTAAATATCAAGACACTTCTCCTGTGTTGCTCATGATACTATCTTCTTTGCACACTCCCTTTTAAAAAGAAGGATAAGAAGAAATCCTTTTCCATTTAAGTGGAATGATAATGTCAGTGGAAAGTACATGTATAGCTGACTGTTCATCAAGGAAGGTTTACTGAGAAGTGAGATGGGTAGTAAAGCATTTTTTCATGGAGAAATTGTTTTAACTGGATGCAGGAGAGGGTGCATGCAGGAATTTATAAAATACAGAAATTTAAATGCCCGAGGAGAGTATGGAAGGTGTGAATGAGAGAGCGATAAGAGCTAGATCATAGGACCTGCATTGTGTGAACCTAAATATGATGGTGAAACTGTATCTTTTTTTAGTGGATGGAAGACAAATAGCTGCAAACATGCGAGGTATTGGGATGATGCCTAATGATATTCCAGAATGGAAGAAACATGCATTTGGTGGCAACAAAGCTTCTTACGGTAAAAAGACCCAACTTTCCATCATCGAGCAAAGGGAGAGTCTGCCAATCTTCAGACTAAAGGAGCAGCTGATACAAGTAGGACCCTTGAAAACAAAACTGTCTTGAGCAAGGAGTAATTTTATATTACTGTGTTGGTTTTAGCCTGTTGACAGATGAATAGCTACTTAAAATTATGTATAAAACAGAGTGTTTTTAAGGACTTTATATGTATGTGTATATATTTGAATAACGTTCTGATTATTTACTGATATAAGTCAAAATTGAAAAGAGGAAAATARGATCACAAAGGAATGTCAGCTGGGTGGTTAAGCAATTTGCAGCTGACAAATGGTCAGTAAGAATAGCAATTATTAATTATTAATGAGCAGTTACTTCATTTTTCATCTAGGTCAGCTAAAACAAAAATACGTGCTCAGTGTAGTCACAGAGATACACTGGTTAGAGGCCTCTGTTTGTTTGCTTATGATTTTTAACAAGTTGTATCTGATGTGCTCTTTTTTTAGGCGGTGCATGACAACCAGATTCTGATCGTTATTGGAGAGACAGGGTCTGGAAAAACAACACAGATTACCCAATACTTGGCTGAGGCAGGGTATACATCAAGAGGAAAGATTGGATGCACTCAGCCTCGCAGAGTTGCTGCAATGTCTGTTGCAAAACGAGTCTCGGAGGAATTTGGCTGCTGTCTGGGACAAGAGGTGAATTTCCATGTTGAAGGATGTGCTAGGAAAAAAAACCCACAATGAAAAGCAGAAAAAAATCAGTAGCAGAGTTACATTGTGTGTCCACATGTCTCTCTTCTGCTAGACTGGAAATGAGCTGATAGAGTAATCAAATTGGGAATTGGTAGTCTGCAGCTTCCATTTTAATGTAGAACGAATGCAATATTGTTCTGTATTCAACTCTGTTTTCCAGGTTGGCTACACTATTCGGTTTGAAGACTGTACTAGCCCTGAAACAGTCATCAAATACATGACAGATGGTATGTTACTGAGGGAATGCCTTATAGATCCTGATCTGACSCAGTATGCCATTATCATGCTGGATGAAGCCCATGAGAGGACCATTCATACAGATGTTCTCTTTGGACTCCTGAAGAAGGTACTAGCCTTGATTCTTATTGTCTTGTATTTCTCTGTATGTTATATATATGTAGGGGCCCAAAGGGGAAGCCAAAATCACCCAAACCAAGTTTGTTCATGTGCCTTAAGAGTCTCTTTTGAGGCAAAACTGATGTCCCTAGTCTGAATGCTTTGAAGGCAAGGAAAGGAAAATTCAAAAGAAACAATGAACCTTAGTATTCTAGGATGCCCCTAATGATGGTTGAGGATTGCTTTGCTCCTCCAGTTCTGACAAAGATATTCTGCAATAGATACTGCTATGGTTTGAAATACCACCTCAATAGGTTGTTTAGAATTCTGGATTTTAGAATTGGCTGCTCTTTTTCTATAGCAGTTCTAAAGTCTGTCAACACTCCTAATTTGACTGGCATTTTTTTCTTTCTGCGCTATAGGATACTTAAACTTTGATTTAATTCAAARTCTGTATGTTGAAAATGCTAAAGGCAGTTAATGACCTGAGAACTTTCTTTCCTGCAGACAGTGCAGAAACGGCAGGATATGAAGTTGATAGTGACGTCAGCAACACTRGATGCTGTGAAATTCTCTCAGTATTTCTATGAAGCTCCAATCTTCACAATTCCAGGGAGAACATATCCAGTAGAAATTCTGTATACCAAGGAGCCAGAAACAGATTATTTGGATGCCAGTTTAATTACAGTAATGCAGATCCACTTAACAGAGCCACCAGGTGAGTGGAGAATGCTGCAGGATGACTGGTTATTCAGGGATTCTTTCTGCCTAGGAGCAGAGTTTCTCTGAGTCGCATATCAAGCATCAGTAACACGAGCAGAATATTGTTCTCTGCACTACCTTGTGTTGTTTGCAACARCAGTGGGTAAAATGCTCAAAATTGAAGTGGAGTGAAGAGTAAAATATGCTAGTAAAATAGGGCTAAGAGTTGGGGACCTTTGCTTTAAGTGCAAGAGATGAACAATAGTAATGCAGGAGCTGTGCTGAGCAAAACTGATTTTGTTTATGTGCTACTCCTYGTGTAGGTGACATATTAGTGTTTCTGACTGGTCAAGAAGAGATTGACACTGCGTGTGAAATCCTCTATGAGAGGATGAAATCTCTAGGACCCGATGTTCCAGAGTTAATCATCTTGCCGGTATATTCAGCTTTGCCAAGTGAAATGCAAACCAGGATCTTTGACCCAGCCCCACCAGGAAGCAGAAAGGTAATTTCAACAAAATGTGGCATCATCTTCAGGACATACTTTTTAGTAGTATAGAATATAACATATTTTTTTTATAGTATAGCAGAAATTCTCCATGAAAATACTGCAATCTGCTTACAAAATAATGACCTTATTCTTGTTCGTAATTGTTAGTTTTATTATTATCTCTCCTTGTATTTCCTAATGTAACAGAGTCGGTTTAAAAACTGATAGTTTTTGGCTATAGATAGTACTGTTTTCTATACTTCAGTTTCTCCTTTCAGTATAAAACTGATAGTATTTGCCTCAGTAACAAACTGATCATACCATGTTGAGTGCTTGATTTAAGTTGAGCAGCGTGTTTGGCTTGACTCCCTGGTATGAAACTCATTATTTAATTAAACTGCTGTTTGCAGGTTGTCATTGCCACTAACATTGCTGAGACCTCTCTGACTATTGATGGAATATATTATGTAGTTGATCCGGGCTTTGTGAAGCAGAAAGTTTATAATTCCAAAACTGGAATAGACCAGCTGGTTGTTACACCAATTTCACAGGTAGGTATTTTGTGTTTGACATCCTCCCACAGCCCTCCCCGATTCTTTTTTTCCTTTTTTCTCTTGTTGCTATTGTGTAATGTGATTATATGGGGTCCAAGCATATGCAAGCAAAGTGAGAGAATGATTAAAAAAACAAGCTTTTGTGATCTCCCTGAATCATGCCTGAGACTGTGGCTGGGGAATATATACTTCCCTGGGTTGTTCTGGAAATCTTTTGAGTAATTAAAAAGAAAGAAAGAAACAATCATTCATTTTCTTTCACTTGTTTTCATATATACCTGTTTGCACTGCTGAGATGCCTTGTTCCTTCTAGGCTCAAGCAAAGCAGCGAGCAGGAAGAGCTGGGAGAACAGGACCAGGAAAATGCTACAGGCTATACACAGAGCGTGCTTATCGAGATGAAATGCTAACCACCAATGTGCCTGAAATCCAGAGAACAAATCTGGCCAGTACAGTGCTCTCCCTGAAGGTAGGTATTTTACTGACTTTCAGCAAAGGCTTTCCATAAATTATTCTCTAACTAAGGCCTTTTAAATACCTCAGTAATTCCAGCTCCTTCCGATAAACATTTGTACCTTGGAAGGGGTACTGTGTCACATGCAGGTCTCGGACGCTATAACTTGCTCATGCACCTTTCTGTGGAACTGTTACAACATTCGATATTGACCTAAATTAAAAGTCCCAGCTGTACACGAGAGTTAATTGCAAGCATTTTGAGAAGCAAGAATCTTATGGCCATTTCACATTCAGTTATGTTGCTAACAGGATATAAGGTGTGGGGTTCTGCAGTTCATTTTGGTCCCCACGCTTTTGCATTTTCTAAGTGTGTACATGTTTAAGTGCATTTAAGTGTTGATGCTGTGAGTCTGCAAACTAAATCTAGCGCAGTATGTAGCTGCTAGGGAAATTGTTGCTCTTTTCCACCTTTCTAGGATAGGGAAGAAGGCTGAAGATGTGTTTAGTGTTCGTTGCAGCTGCCACACCACTCTGGCTTAAAAGGCACTAAGCCAAACCCAGGATTTAGACCATGTATTTCCTAGAGTGGATCATCCTGTCTGGAAAAGGCATGAAATACCCAAGAAACATCCCAAGGGAATTGGTGAAAGCTATGGGCCAGTGCAGAGCTATCTCAGGTGCTAGAGTGTAGCTGAATGTTCATGGTGCTGGTTGTGGCTGAGATAAGGGCCTGCGCATGAGCGGGCTTAAGCTCCTTAGTGTCACACTGATGTTTATGTATCTTCACCTGGATTTTGATTTCCTCTGTCTTTCCAGTGTTTTTAACTTGATTTTTCCCTACTTTCTCTCTTCAGGCTATGGGGATCAATGATTTGCTTTCCTTTGACTTTATGGATGCTCCCCCTATGGAAACTCTYATAACTGCCATGGAACAACTCTACACCTTGGGAGCCCTGGATGATGAAGGGCTGCTCACTCGACTTGGGCGCAGGGTAGGTTGTATAGGGTATTTCTTGGTCCTRTTTGGTTTGCATATGTTTAGAGGATGACATGGGAATAATTTTAGGGACTTGTCGGACTCTGTTTTCCCTTGTCCTTATGTTTTGTTGGTATTTCTGCCCTTACCACAGCTATATAACTTCTGCTTTTTTAAGTAGCAGATGATTTTTTCTTGTTATTTATAAGCTTGCTTTTATCAGTTTCTGAAAATCTCCTGTAATACTGGGATAGTTTTTGTGGTTGTGTATGTAGTTAGGGTAATTTGTTTTATGTTCAATGAAGTTATTTTGGGTAGAGCACATTGCTTTGCTGGGGAAACGCTAAAGAAAGATAAGTGGCATTTTTTGCACTGAGATATCTCAAGAGTTTTGCAAGGCTTTGCATTGRAATTCTGAAACAAGTGTCTTGCAGATGGCAGAATTCCCCTTGGAGCCCATGTTGTGCAAGATGTTGATCATGTCCGTACATCTGGGATGCAGTGAGGAAATGCTAACAATAGTCTCTATGCTCTCTGTTCAAAATGTGTTCTACAGGCCAAAGGTAAGGAATGCAGCCGAGAGGCACTGCTCTTTGGATGTTATTTTGGGTTGCCTGCCTTGGTTAGTGAGTGGGCATGCTTGTCAAAACAAGCCTGTATCTTGATTTGAGCTGTTGATTCATACATTGCATATCTGCCATACTTTCTGGTTAAAAACCCTGTAGCTGTGGAGATTGGCTGTCTTTTTGTGGGTGGAAAGGTGAAAGTTAAAAACTTCTCATCCTCTTTTTCCTTCCCATACAACTCTAAACCCGGCTTGTCTCTGCCTTTGAGTTCAGAGTGGCTTTGCTAGAGCAGAACTTCTCCATCTCCAGATAAACAAAGTATTTTTTTCATCACAATCCTGTCCTGTGCTGACTCTTTTCATCTCAGCAAGAAGCAAACTGCCGTGCGGTGTAATTCTTCCACAGTAGAGTCTCCTAGAATCTATTATTTCTTCGTTATGTTATCCAGCTGTAGTTTAGTGCATTAACTTCAATTTCGATGTATGTAATCACAAAATTTGATTCATATTGTACCTATAGACTGGAGAAGTGAGGAGAGGCAGGTAGGTTGGTAGAGTTAAAACTGCTTCTGACAAGGAGCCGGTGTCGTTTTTCTGTTACACAAGAATGGTCTCTAAGACACAGGTTTCTTATATGTATATATTTTTTATTTTCTTAGGATAAACAAGCTCTTGCTGATCAAAAGAAAGCCAAGTTCCATCAGACAGAAGGTGACCATCTCACTCTACTGGCTGTGTACAATTCCTGGAAAAATAACAAGTTTTCAAATCCCTGGTGCTATGAAAATTTTATCCAGGCTCGGTCCCTACGCAGGGCGCAGGACATCCGCAAGCAGATGTTGGGCATTATGGACAGGTGAGCACACCCAGAAGGATAAGTACTGGTGTTTTTTAATGTTATTATGATGTAGCCGCTAAACAAAACCTGCAGATCTGGTGGTAGCAGCACCCACATCTGGGGATCTCTCTCCTTTTTCTTTTGTATTCTCTGTTTGATAGACACAAGCTGGATGTGGTGTCCTGTGGCAAGGCAACAGTTCGAGTCCAGAAGGCCATTTGTAGCGGCTTCTTCCGAAACGCAGCAAAGAAGGATCCACAGGAGGGTTATCGGACACTCATTGATCAACAAGTAGTCTATATTCACCCATCCAGTGCCCTTTTCAACCGGCAGCCAGAATGGTAAAGAAGGAGATGCCGCTTGCATTTTCCATTTCAGTTCAGATTTTATAACTGAAAAGTCTGTGGTAGATTTTTAGGGGAAAAAAAAAATCAAGCTCTAGGCTTCTGCTTTGTCAGCAGCAAGCAGAATAAGAATAGTTTCAAGTCCTTGTCTCCTTCTACTGCCAAATGTTGTCTATGCAGAAGAGGGACTTTTAGAATCAAGCTCAGGACTGGAGCCTGCAGTTCTGTGTGCCTGTCTTATGAAAGTGAATTAAAAACACTGCGTTTTGAGAGAATAGGAATTGTTTATGTGGAGCAAAGCAGTTCTGTGATGAAGAATAGATGTGAAGTGGGAGAGGGGGAAGACAGCTTTTCTGGATTTTTATTTTGGAGCCCACATTAGATCTTGTAAGGAGCCCAATTTCAGGGAAGGGAAGAACATCAAGGGTGAGCYTGGATCTTGCAGCCCTCGCCCTGCTTCCTCGTGTTTGGAAGTAGTGATTTCCCAAGTGCTCTATCTTCTCTTCACAGGGTGGTGTATCACGAACTGGTGCTAACCACTAAGGAGTATATGCGTGAAGTGACCACGATTGATCCCCGCTGGCTCGTTGAGTTTGCRCCTGCTTTCTTCAAGGTTTCTGACCCAACCAAGCTGAGCAAACAGAAGAAGCAGCAGCGGCTGGAGCCCCTGTACAATCGCTACGAGGAGCCCAATGCTTGGAGGATCTCGCGTGCGTTCAGACGCCGATGAGCCTAGTTCTGACACGGACTATTGTTGGTTGTATATTTGTGGGACTGCAATTTTTGCATTGTTGAATATCTTTTAGGAAGCCTGCAATTAGCTGTTAACTTGCAAAATGAATAGAAAATAAACGTTTTTAGAGCAAAAGCACAAGGGGGCGTTACTTGCTCACGCCAGCTGCCTCCAATCTGCAGCTGCCTGACAAATGTTCCGGGTCTCCTTGGTGTATTGCATCATCTAACAAACAATTCTCAGAACATTTCTTAGTCATTCCCGTTATAAGAGAGAATTTTTTATACAGTGAGCACAACAGCAACAAAAAATGATGATGAAAAAATGTTTGTTCACCAACCCAATTGTATTCTGAATTACCAGACAGAGTCTGGAGTGGGTTAGATTTGTTACCTTGCTAAAAAGAATTAATTTCAGCTTGTGCTTTTCAACAGTGGTTCTTTTTACACTCTTAAACATTTTCATATCCATTTGTGCTTTGTTTTTAAAAAATTATTTATTTTTATGCAAGCCAGGGTAGAAAAGACCTCAGCTACTTTAATAGAGCATGTGTTATACTTGGACAGTGACACAGGTCAGACTGYGAGTCTTATCCTTCATCGCCATCTCCTGTGTGCTGAAGGATAGTATATCAAATGGTAATTAACCACATCCACTGTGTAGCACGGCTCTGTTTATAAACCTAAGTGGTTACAGATGGTTAGGCTTTCTACTCAATATGTCATGTTTTATTTCCACTGGCAATGATCAGTGACATCACAACTGTTGAGGTTTTTGTTTGTTTCTTTCCTTATACGAAACTTTCTCTTACAGCTAACACTTCAGTAAAACACAGTGAAACAGCTCCGTATTAAAAACAGATTGAGTGTGCCCATGTGCACTGTGTCATGTGGAAGCTATCTATAAATTCCCCCTCCTTTTTATTTTTTTTTCTCTTGTTACAAGGAGAACTGAAATTCTGTATTTGACTCCATAGCTGGAGATGCACTTTTTTGATTTCTTAAAGCTGGGATATTTGCTCRTTACTGTTCAAAAGAGTAGAATGAAATTGGCTGGTTTCGTTTTGCATCTGAGTGTTTTGAAGAAAACTGAAAAAGTGAAAAGTGATCCACAGTGAAAAGTGGATACAGTTGAACTCTGTAACTATGTACACAGGGCAGGGATGTTGTATATACTGTTTTATTATGTTATAAATACCAGGGGCAAGCTGGTAGCACTGCATCTTTATAGAGTTTAATAAAATTATTATTATTTTTAAGTTCAGAGACTTTTTCATAATGGCATGATGCAAAGCCTCTTGTCATATTGACTATTCTTCAAAGCATTTTTTTTCCAAAAACTCTGCAGCTGCACCTGTTACTTCTTCCATGTCCCTTTTCCATGGAAATTTACACTTGACATTCAAAAGGAATATGGAAGATGTCAAACAGAAAAGGCAAAGAAAGAGGTAAAAGGAAAAATCCACATCCTGGAAGTACCAGCTGGACAACATTGACACTTGGAGGTACCTGTATTCCTATTTTTTTTTCCCGTCTGTATTTGCTTTTCTAGCTTAGCTTATTTTTGACTTTTGGTGGAGATAATGCCTGAAGGAGAAAGATTTTCCTTAAGCCAAATCCTGGGGGTTTTTTTGTGTAAATTATTTTTTGGTGTAATTTGTCACTAATATGCCCTAATGCATTTATGGAAACCTTTCCATTTGGATGTCAGCTGTTGTTTGGGAACACCCAACTTCCAAAATGAGATTGGGGAAAAAAGAATGCTGGCTTACAGCCTCGCAGTATTTGCACATTGTTTTAAGAATGGTTTGTCTAGTATTTTAAGTATGGTTTGTCTACTTGATAGGCTCAGTAGCCTCAGAGCAGTAACATTCCTGTGTCTTTTGCCTTTTTTTCCTAGTTTATCTTGTCAGACCAAAAAGAGAAAAGAAGCAGCCTGATGCACTTTGTTCTGGCAATACTTATGTCACCTAAATAGGTATTTTGGCCTTTTGCTTCTTTGCTGGAGGAAAATGTTCTCCTTGGCGGGGGCAATGCTTATGTGAATGTGTGTGCCAACTTGCCGGACTGAATTAACTAGATTATTTTAACTGGTTAAAGAGTAGGCTCTTCTTTTGGCTCACCTCAAGTTAAAACTGCATACAGTTTTATTCCAATCCACATTGCACACATCTCTTAAACGTAGGAGTTTTGCCAGTTGAGGCCATGTGTCTAATCTGGAGTGTTTCAGGCAGCAGGGCTGCTAAAAGCTTCCTGAATCACGTAAGGACGTATCTGGGCGCAATACCTGCATGTGTCTGGGTGAGCAACCAAAAGCAAAACTGCTGTTTCCAGCTGCGGTGCTGCTGCCCTGGGGTCGCTGCCAGGCACGAGAAGCAGCGCAGCCGCAGGATCCCTCCCTGCTTCCCGCAGCATTCCCAGCTCCAGTGTTCAAGGAGAGACCTGGGTTGTAAACAGTAGGCACTGATGTTAACCTTGTCCTTGCTGGCAGGGAACAAGCCCCAGGAAAACCAAGGGAAATGGGCATCCTTACTCAGKAGGCTGCTGTGGGGTACGGGCTCTGTTTGAGGGACTCCAGCCCCAGCAGCACGTGCCCCTGCCTGGTTTCCATGTGCTGTCACAAAGGGTTTGGAGAAAGAAAAAGCCCTCACTTGCATGTACATGTGCACACTCCCTCTCACACGCCCAAAGTCAACCTTTTGCCCTTAATTCAGGAAAGATAAATATGATTTTTACGGCCAGCACCACAGATGTTCCATCTGTTAGAGTAACTACCTTAACCTCATTAATGGGCTCGTTACCAGACCTGGAGTGACAGCAATGTGCTGCTTACACAAAGAGGGTTTTGTTGTTTAGTAATTTGGTTTTCATGAGCTTTCTGTGACAACTGCAGGAGGTGGCGATACTGGTGCATTAGCAGCTTCTTGCAATTTCTCATTTATGAATGAGAATGCAATGTTCTTTTATGAACATTTATGAATGTTCATAAATGCAATGAATACAATGAATGCAATGATCTTTTTATGAATCAATGAACGCAATGTTTTTAGGCCAGCTGGGAATACGGTGAGTATCTGATTCTAGCAAATATGTTTTATACGTGTCTGTTTTGTAACCTCCATCCATCCATCTTCTGTCTGGCCTGGCCCTGCCGTGGGAGTGGAGATGCAAGGCTGGGCGAGAAGGTTTATTACGGTTGAGGATGGTCTTGGAGCTGCTCGGCCACAAGTCTGTCCCATCCCGACTCGACTCTACAAGCTGCCTGGTAATAGCGGTAGATGTTGGATATGGCCTCAAAAAGACAGTACGCTTCTCTTAACTCTTTATTCCCTTTCCATGCACTGCTTTGCCCTTAAAGAAAGCTCTTCCTTCTCYCTACTGAGAGTTATAAATACGAAATATGTTGATACAAATATTTTCTTGTTTATCCTCAGCAAGTTGCAATGGGGAAGTTTTGGAGCTCTTGAGGACCTTTGGCTCTGCTTGGCAACCGGTGAGCGCTGGGGTTAACTCCGTCACCCTAAACAGCGTGCTCTAAGGGCACAGCCAGGACCTGCTGTAATGTTGCACGTTAATTATTTAGTATGACCAGAAAGGAATCGTGTTCCGGGTAATAGATTTATGGTGCTTCCTGCTGTGTTTTGTGCTGTTGCCACAGCAGAAGTAACAGCAGCAAAAGCAACTGCTCCAAWGGGGAGGGAAGGAACCAAACCAACCAACAAATCGAAGCAAGCTCTTGGCTGTGGTCCTTAYGAACAAAATCCTACAGCGAGTTTGCTCTGTGCCCACATTTTGCCTCTTGGGAAGAGCCGAATGCTCCCCAAGTTCCAGGGTGGCAGCACCCTGCTCGCTCCTGCCGTGTGCTGCGCACGAGAGCCGTACRGAGCCTGTGTTCACGCCGCTTCCCTGGCCTCTTGCAGCCTTTAGCTCTGCCCTCCTGCTGCCAGCTACAGCTCTCGCTGTCCCATGGCACTGCAGGGTGTTCCAGAATGAACCCCAAACTCTCACTGGGTTTTCTTGCCTTTGTAGCCTGGAAAGCGGCAACATGCAGCAACAACCTTTAGATCTACTTTAGCATTTATAAATCCAATATTTCTTCCACCCTCTAACTAACCAGCCAGCCTTGGACCGATGTTCTCTCCAGCGGCCCATCTGCCTCTTGCTTTCCTACAGCAGTTACCTGTGCTTGCAGTGATGACTGCAGAGAAACGACTTGTTGCTGTCCAGAGAAGGTAACTGGTGACGGTGTTGATCAGCCTCTCCTGTCCCAGCCCCGCAAGCAAATCTTGCGTAGGGACACTAGAGAACGGCTGTTATTGATGTTAAGCCCATGTAATTTTAAGGATTTTTGTGATAAAATTCTCAGACCCAAATGGTTGTCAATGCCCTGGAGAAATACCCCTCTTYGCTTAACGGAGGATGCTTGGGAAGCTCATAACAGATATTGCTTCCCAGTGATTCAGCAGTGAATCATGAAAGCAAATGGCCAAAAACCTGTAAACTTGGTACAAAATATCACATGCTTTTAGGGTGAAACCTGCATGGATCCAAGTTGAGGAGCAGCAGAAGCAGCCAGGTGAGCTCCTGCCATCTCATCCCCTGCCCAGGGTTGCAGGTGAGTCCAGCTCTCCCCCAGATGCAGAGGACTGCAGTCACAGTCCTGGATTTGTACTTGACTGCCCGGGAGCAGGTGGAGGGACCCAGTGGTYGCTTCTTGAGCTCCTCCAAGATCCAGAAAATCGATGAATATCCCTGCGCTCCCAGGATGAGGCTACACAAAGCTCCAGGAAGATAGAGCAATCTCAGAACAGGAGGAAAGACAACCCAGGGCACAGGCCAAAGATATAGACCAATTTATTAATTATAGTATTTTTACACTTATAAATAATAAACACAGATTATGCCAATGAGGAAGCCTTTAATGGCCCTCCTGGGTCCCCGGTGGAAGTGTGCATGGCCCGTGGGAGCAAGGCAGGGTGGGAGCACCAGGAGCTGCCAGGACACCAAGCCTCCGGGCTGCCCTCGGGCCAGCAGAGCTGCTCTTCCTGGCCCTCATCCCTTGGAAGAAGCAGGGAAGCCATGCAGGGGAGAATCACTGGGACCCAGCAACRGGGACGTGGTGCTTGTGGAGAGGTTTTTCCCTGAAGAAAACAGCCAGAGTTGAGGTAAGCTGCATGCCCTGCACTGCTCAGCAGGGATGTCCACTTTAACACCACGCCAGGGCTTTCCTCGAACATGCAAACAGCTGCGGACGGTAAGTCTAAATTCAGACATTAAGGACATTGTATGCTTTAGGTTATTTTGTAAAGTATTTCCTGAACGCGCTTCCACCAGGTTCTTCTCCTGCCCACAATMGCTTTCTCAGCACGCCCAGGATGGGCACGCTGAGGGCGTCAGGAACTTTGCTGAAGAAGCAACTGAGCTGGAATAGCCAAGGGGTAGGACCAGACAAGAGGCRAGCTGGATGCTGGGATGAACTGGAGGCTCTGGCAGCTGCTTCCTGCGCTCCCCCTTCCCGAAGGTGACGTTGGCTTTAAGCTGTGTCCCCAAGCGGGGCAGGGCAGCAGTTCCTCTAAACGCAGGCGGAGCCGTGAGCTCCGGGACTCCGTTAATCCTGGCTCATTCCTCCTACCACCCTGCTCTGAGCGAGCCCTGAACGCCAGGCAGCCCTGGCTCGGTGCAGCTAAAGCARGAGCCAGCTCACACCCACATTCCCYGTTCCCACGCCGYGGTTATCAGCGGTTGGTGACCGCTGCGCTGCAGCCCTTGCAGGACGAAGGCACCTCTGTCCTGGTGGCGGTGCGACCGGCAGGGTCACCTCTGTCCCTTGCTGCCGGTAGCTTGTACAGGTTCTGGGCAGGCGCTGGAGGAGTGCGGGCAGCAGCAGTGTTGTAGCATCCTCCAAGGAGAGGCAGATGTGGCAGGACCCCCATCTCCTCCCTGGCTGAAGGGAAGGACTCGGGGGGCCTGGCTGGAGATGGGGCCAGGCAGCTGCTGCTGCTGGGCTTCCCTGCTCGGAGAGGGCCTGGTGGCCCAGTGCTAGCCCCCCGCCACSCCCCGGCTCCCATCGCGTGCACACCTGATAACAGCCAGCTGAGCATCCACAGACGGACCAAACCCCTGCCCTGACCGCTGCAGGCGTCCCCCGTCTAGCACAGCCCCGGGCTGACCTGGGCACATGCCTATACTGCCCGCGTACTAACCAAACACCTCCTTATATACACACGTGGGGCATCCTGGGGGGCTCCCTGCAGCGCTAGTAGGCACAGCCTTTGCTGTAGAGCTGCGGGGCAAGACCCCCAAGGTCCGGCAGGTAAGGCACAYTGTCATCCAGGTGAGAAAGGGGCACCGTGTCCTCCTCGCTGATGTGCCGGTCAAAATCCGCCTTCAGGGCCGGCCGCTGATTGTCGGGAAAGGCCAGGGAGAAGAGGGCTTCGGGCTCGCACACGAACTTGTACACGTAGCGCTCGCCGGCTACCTGCGGGGAGGGACGGGCCGGGCAGCCGGCGATGCTCCTCGGCCGGAGCAGCGAYGCTGGCGGCTCCAGCCCTTTCCCCCCAACCCGCGACCCGGCGGGATCGCAAGCTTCTCATCGCGAAAGGCACAGAAATGACGGCAGCTTCGCAAACTGACCTTCTGCATGATGCCCTTTTCGTAATAGTAGCGAAGAGAGCGACTCAGCTTGTCGTAGTTCATGGCTGGACGGTTCTTCTGGATGCCCCACAGCCTGGCTACCTGCAGAACAAAAGTACCAGAGTGAGTGAACATCTCTGAATCCAGGGCAGAAAAGAAGCGAATCAGCCAGATCCAGTTCAAGGGAACAACACCGCACCAAAGCCCATACAGACGTTGAGGGTGGGTTTATAATAGAATCAAACGGAAATTATTTAGCCGGAATGCATCTCTCACAGGGGCAAGACRTGAACAGGTACTGCCGGCACATCTCCCAGCTGCTGTTGGATAGTTACTGCAGCCTTGAGGGGGTGGCTGCTCCCCCATGAACCTGGAGCCAAGCGAAATGGTGTCACCTCTTCTGGCTCAATGAGCTTGAACTCCATCCCTCTGCCCGTCCAGGCAATGAAGTGGGAATTCGTTGGATCATCCAACAAAGCCACAAGGAACTGCCAGAGCTGAAGCGATCCCCGCCGATGGTAGGGTGGTCCTTCACGGTACCCTCCAGCTTCCTGCTTGATGTCTCCTGCTGACAGCAAACAAGGTATTTCTAAGGATGACAACCCTGTGCTTTGTTTGTAGGAAGGTGAAGGTGGCTGCAAGCCGTGCCAGGAGAAGCTGCAGGGTCCCTCCCATTTCACCTCACGTTTACCCTGGTCTGAGGCTCTAGCCACAAACCCACCATCCAAACTGGAAGCCACTCTTCCTTTTACCTTCAAATTTCTCTGGAACAACACAGACATCGTCAGCGAAGGACCTCATCTGCTTGTCATAGCTGTAGCCTAGAAGAGAGAGAAAGAGAGAGAAAGAGAGAGAAAGAGAGAGA